CATTCACAAGAGAGTCCTCACCATCGACCACATCCGAAAAAGTGGACTCCCTTGTCCCAACACGTTATGTGTTTGTACGCGGAAGAAACAAACGACCTTCCGTTTATCCACTGAAAACCGGCCTCAGCCTTATGAGCCAACTTGATGCGAATCTTCCAATAGTGTTGGGTGACTCCTCGATCGGTTCCTCACCTCTTCGAGGCCTTCCACTCAGCTTCTTGGCACAAGGCTGATCGTCTTCTTTGGAAAGCCTCTCCGTGGCAGCCACAATTTGGCTTCTTTGGATTGAAAAAAACCTTAGCACCTTCAAAGGAGGAACCCAGTTACTGCATTGATTGAGAAGGTTAGACAGCTAGTTTCCTTCTGGGCCCTGAACCATAAGTTCTTTAACGGTTACTCCTATTTAGATTTCAGTAACAATCGGCACCCCTTAGTGGTTTTGAGAACTACCAGGATCCCCCACTCCTCTCTTTGGAGACCACCGGACGGGGGTTCTATCAAGTTGAATTTTGACGGTTGCTCTCTCAGCAATCCCAGCCCCTCTGGTATAGGGGGGCTGTTTAGGACTAGTGAAGGCAGCTTTTTGTCATCCTACTCGCGACCTATAGGTGTAGCTGACTCGACTCTTGTTGAGGCCCTAGCCCTCCTAGAGGGCATCCACAAGTTTAATCCCCTTTACAGTATAGTGCTTGTGGTCAAAGGGGATTCTAGGAATGTGTCACTTGGACCTCCAACACTTCCTCCTGTCTGTGCAGACTTGACCATATTTTTTAGGAGATCTTGCATGTCTGTGGAAACTTTCAAGTCTCTTGGAGTCACAGCAATAGAGAAACAAATTTGGAAACCAATGCACTGGCTAGGGAGGCAGCTCACTCCAATTCCTTACTGGGGAACTAGGCATCCTTGCACCTCCAACTCACACAGCTTCTCTGTCTTGTTCTTATTTCTGCTGTATAGCATTTTTTGGTCGCCCTTGGGTTCTTGCATATGGCCCCTCCTCTACTGTGCCTCAATTTTTGTAAACTCTCTTATACAAATGAACATTCTAAAAAACCAAAAGAAGAAACAACATGCAATATGAGACCTGACAGTCTTGGTATGTGTGGAAATGAAGGGAACTCATCACAATGCTTTAGATCATATACTTCCACCTCCCCATTCTAAGGCTAGTAATGGGTCAGTCCTGGGCCAATCAGGGTGGGCCTGAGCCCAACCCAAAAGGTAGCTAGGCCCAGTCCTGATAAGAGTTCAAGGCCCCAACCCTTGACCTGGATAAATAGCCAGATCGCCTGACCTGGCCCCATAACTGGACAGGTAGGGCTGCCCTAACTGCAGGCACAAGTGATTAAAAATTTAAGCACCATGCTTTGAACTTGAGACCTAGAATTGCAAAAGGCAACATCTCAACCAACCATACCAAGACCTCTAAAGGCCAAATTCATTTCTTGTTATGGATACTACTCATAATTGTTTAGCATGTGGAAAAAAAATCAGTAGGAGAGTTTGTACTCAGAACTGAGTGTGACAAAAATCGGTAACTTAACCAAACAGGACTAAGCCTGACTTTTGACTTCGAATACCTTTTTTTTTTTTAGTATATAGTACTCATGGTTGTTTGACCTGGGGAAAACAAATCAGTAGCAAGACTTGAACTCAGAAACAAAAGTCAGCACCCTAACCAACCTGAACCAAGCTTGAATCTGGCCTACCAACAACTGTTTTGAAAAGATATATAAATCTGAATGGCCAGGCCAGGAACCAGCCCAATAAAAAATCGGTTCAGACATGCCCAGCCCAAGGGCCCAATATAGGGGTCCAGATCCGTCCAAATCAGGCCAGTTCAAGCAACTCAGCTCATTGCCATCTCAGAACATTCTATTAGGATTTTAACCATAAAACCATGACCTTTATGTCCCCAAGAAGATGCTTTCTATGCTGGATATGATCATATTCAGGAATATGATAGTGGGCTACTAGTATCACTATGACAATCAAGCTTTTGTTCACACTTCAGTTAACACTGGGAAGTAGACCAATAATCTGCGTCTCCATTTCCATTCCATCTTTGCCTTCTCCAATAACCTAGTAGCAAATTTCTCAAGATATGTCCACCAATGGTTTATTGGGAAGCTTATTTTCTTAATGTCACACTTGGTTCTTCAAATTCAAGAATGCAATTGCTTCTAAAACCTTAAATGCAAATAATAACACTGATGCATCTCTATGCAACAATACACGAGGACCCAAATCCTCTACAAATTTGTGACTCATAAGAATATTTATCAATCGTTGGTATATTAGGTTATGTATATGTATATGTATATATCTCATCTGTTCAATGTTGTCATTATATTATTGTATGAGAAGTTAGGCCACACCACTAATCCAAGGAGAATCATTTCTTCTCATGTTTTTTGCCGTTTGACATGGCATCAAAACACGTTAGTGATGTGTTCAGTTCATCCAAGTATCATCCATCTCCGCGATTGAAGATCAGAGGCAATAACATGCTCTGAAACAATGCCTCCAAAAGTTGCAGTCCAATTTCAAGGTCCAAGTGTCACACCAGGTTGTTAAAAACATAACAACATGCCAAAAAGAGCGGGTTGGCCATTTCCCATCAGAAAAGAAAACATTTGGCCATTTCCCATCAGAAAAGAAAACATTTGGGATTGGGAATGATTGAACAACATAAATAAGAATAGGTTTTCCCATACATGCAGGGAATCTCGTAAACCACATACGGTACTCATAGACACACACAAGGGTGCTCTATGACATCGCAGATTGTAAAAAGTTGATACCAAAGAGAAGAGAAGTCAAGATTTCCTATAATTTTCCATTCATATGTTCAATGTAATTGTGAGGGTCTACAAGTATGACGTAGGGGCATAGAATGGTGCACTCTGCCATGCTCAAGATTTGAGAGCATTCCAAGAAACCCTTTCTGACAACTGATGATATTTTCCATTACTCCAACTGCTATGAAAGAAAACGCAACAATATTCGCAAAAGCAGAAGCCCATCAAGAATGTCATCTCACTCCTTGATGTGTATACCTCATCAGCAGTAGATCCATATGTGGTGTACAGTGAAGAAGATCTTCTCCATCTCAATGAAGGGAAATGTTCCATAGTTACTCATAAAAGAAAGCTTTCTAGGAATTATTTTCCCTTAATGTTTGAAGACATTGAAAATCCCATCAAAAGTTTTGCCTAGTGTATATGAATGTCTCTATATAAACATTTTGCTAGGACTTTCTAAGGAAAAGGTTAATCATTCACGAATGTCAATAGTCAATGGATAACTGAGATGGAATGGAACCAATCAGTGCTCCTCATACTCACATATTGAGGAGGATATGTTGATAATATCAAATAATTTGTAATGAAATTTCTAATATTTTTAGTTAGATGCCATGATTGATAATTTCACCGCACATGATGATATATACCAGGAATTTATGATAGATGAAAGATCAACTGCATACTTAAACAATCCATTTTGTAAAACAATAGGAAAACAATTTATTAGTTTCTTAAATATCTCATTTGAACATACAATCAAAGATGATAGAAATGGAAAAGAAATGGTAAGATACGGAAAAGACAAAAAAAAAATACTTAACAAAGAAAAGCAGAGAACAATCAAACTGAAAAACTAGCATAAGGAATTATCTCTGAAGAGAACTAACTGCTGCTCCAAAAACGTTTTACTTTTCTGTTTGAAATTTTTAACCTTTTCTGCATTTTTACAGCTCGTGTTTAACAAAAATTAAGAACTTTTCTTCCAGCTATGCCACAGCTTGCTCATACTACACTCTTCGAGGCTTATAGCCCAAATTGCTTTACAACTAGGATTTTTCCTCTTAAAGTATGCATATGTGATATGCTCGATTACCCTAATAGATGTCACGTGATATGAATTGCTTTTTCATGTTGAAGGGACTGGAACTCAAACCATGCAGCCCTGAGGTCTCGACTTATCAAGGTTTGAGAAAATTACATAACAGAAAGCTAAAAAAATGTTAAGCTTTAGAACTTCACAAATGTACACTCGTAAGATGGAGCTGTTCGTCCAACCTACTAGGTTGCCAATCCAAATCAATCACAGTATGTAAATATGCATCCAAAAAAAATACCACCAAGCAAACAATGGTCAACATCTCCAAATACACACAATCCTAAACCTCCTAAGTCTTGGACATCCGTAATAGCTTTTAACTAATGGGCATATTACCATGTTGAAAATTTTAAGTCACAAGATATCTGCTTCTCTTGAATATTCTGAAGAAAACTAAACAGGAACTGACACATGAAGACCCAAGATCCCTTGGAGACCAGACCTAAGATGAGGGAAAACTGGAACTCTAAAAGAGTAAATAAAAGTTACTAAAAATGCAAATTTGAAGTCCAACATGCTTTCTAGGATAAACAAAATAGTCCTTGAATAAAACAGAGAAACAAAAAGATAGTCTAGAAAGATCATATCATGGTTCTCTCATTATACAGAAACAAGCTCACATGTCATGGATGCAGCACAGTCACAATTAGTTTCTAGAAGAATAGGGGATATGATTCCCTCAATATACAGAAACAAGCCCACATGTCGTGGATGCAGAAGTCACAATTAGTTTCTAGAAGAATACGAAGCATTAGATGATGAAATCAATTTTTAAAAGAATCCAAGAAGATCAAACACGGAAATAAACATCTTGGATGAATAGTATGACTCGCTATCTTTCAAATTTATGGAAGCTCCAACTAAGCAGCAAGCAACCAAATTCCATAAGACTGTGTAAGTGCAGACAATAAACGCCTGGAGGGGCAATAGCATTCACAACTTTGAAACCACTATGAATACAGAGTTTACAAGATGCCCATGATCAACTTAAAACCATCTTCACCAACTCACAAATAAATTACGGGGCAGTATACTATTTATGGCAGGGAAAGACAGAAATAGAGCAAATTGGTCTCAAACTTTAAAAGGGAACTCACCACATTAGTCAGAGAGGTAATGTTCCACAAGGCATACACCCGTGCAAGACCTGCTGATCTCCTTGGACCATGGCTGAACAGAGCATTAATTCCAGCAGGAAAAGGAGAAAGTATTCCTAAAGGAAGGATGGACAAAACTAAAAAGAAGTCCCAAAGTGAGATAGAATACAACTGAAGCAAAGTGAGTAGAACTAAACTAAAGTCTCCCAACAATATCATTGAGATGACCAACCCCACAAGATCCTGCAGGAGAAAGCAATGACATGGTGAGAGCATTGACATGGGAGCAGTTATAAAAAGAGCATTGATATGAGAGCAGTTATAAAACTCGAGTATGGAAAGACCTCAGACAATTGTGTCCAGAACAAAGTAATAATTAACAGGCACAAGCAAAGTTACCTGATGTCCAATAGGTCTTGTGTTATGCACAATAAGGGAGAAGGGATAAAATATATCTTTCTTCTCCTCGAGCATTCGCAAACTGTAAGTATCTAAAACAACTCCAGAAATTCTGTTACGCACCAAAACGTTTTCTTTACTCCGCAAAAGTCCAATCTGACTGTCCCCATCAGCATTAAATGCTCTGCAAGGTCCATACGAAATCATAATTCTAAGGTGCCAATTGCATGAACATTAACCTCTTAAGGAGAGACTCAGAACAATCCTCTCTTAAGTAGAGTATAGCACAAGAACTGCATAATGAAATTTCTAAGGGGATTGATATTTGCGCCCATATTTTTGTATTGCCACCCAATTTCTTGCTTTACCCAACGAAAAGATGCATGGGAATATCATAAAAAATATGTTGGATTGAATTCCACCCTTGTACAAAACATGGATTTCAATAAGAATGCTCATTTTCCAATAGCCACCAAAATAATTACCGTGAATGATCATATTGCAAGGCTTCACCCATTCCATCAACAGAGGCAAGTGGAGATTCTTCATCAACAGCGTACACAACAAGGCCTAACTGGCAGTAACCAAATGCAGTGGGCTGAAACTGCGCAAGGACGACCCCCACCCCATGCATGCTCAAAGCAGGATTTGCATGAGTCTGAAGCCAGCTGAGAATAGGCACTAATGTTACTCTCAAATGACCACGGCGAACAAGGCGTAATTGCGCATTGAGTCCCGCTACAAGTCGGTACCATATGGTAGGTGGAACTGACTGCATGGAGAATATTCACATAAATTCCATAAATTATAAAAACCCCAACACTTGCTTAATAGACTTTCAGAAGAGCTGCCATTCAAAGCACTTACAGATTTAAATATTGAATCCTATGCAGATGCAAAACATACCTGGCTCATTAGGCTGGTGAGGACATTATCACTGTGAAGAGAGAAAGGAGTCATGTAACTTCCATCACCTCCAAATACTAAACACATGGGAAATCTTTGGTGAAGCCGAGGAGGTAGATCAGGACGTTTTTCATCTCCCCCGAGAAAAAAATCAATATATCCTAGCATCAAATCTGGTGAAGCAGCAACCTACACTTGACAAAAGCATTAGTTTCAAAACCTGCTAATAGAAAAAATAACCATACCAAATTTACATATATAAAAAAGGTAAATTATATAAAAAAAAATGGTAAACATATTCCCGCTTTTGAGAAGGAATCCAGGGGAAGTCCCTCGAAAGCCAATATTGCAATAACGAGAGAACTAATTTCTTTTATCTATTATATGAACCACAAATAGATCCCCTCATCATTTTGATGACCAATCTGGTCCTGATAACAATGATGCCACCAGTTTTACATTTACAGTTCACAAATATATATCAATTAACCACAACAAACTTCAATGCATTTGTAGAAAACTCAAATATTCAACAATAGATCTGCCATCTATTATAATTGTAAGACTTAACCTTAAGCCCTTCATAAAGGGCACGTGAACGGCAGGATCGCAGGCATGCATGATCATATTCGGATCGAACAAATTCACGAAGTCGCTGTAACTTTTTCCGACGACGCCATTGCTGCCAGGACCAAGCAAAGGGATATGCAAGAACTGAAAGAATGCTGTATACGGAACCTTCCCACCATTGGTAAGCATCCAAGACATTAATCTCATCGACAAATCTGTTAAATGCATCCTCGTATCTGCCAAGAAAGAAACAAACTAAAACTGTAAATAAATTTTATAAGTAAACTAAGAAGACTAGTGTTGTTTACAATACAACAAGGATCAACAAATCAGAAAAGGAGTAGGATACAGTAAATTATAGTGAACAAGTTACTTACACAATCTCCATTATTTGTTCTGGAGGTGAATGGGGCAAATGCCATGGCTCCCTAAATGTGTTCGGACCCATAAAATACATCCTATGCACATGACTCTGGGATTCCTCAGCTCTGTTTGTTTCAAGCACCTGAAAGTGGCAAAAGGGAACAATCAAGAATACTCCCAAAAGAAGTCGATGGCACTAGATGGACTCATTTCTGCAGTTCGAATCCACAAGTTAATTTGAGACCCCAGAAGATCACCTCATTCAGAGATTCCAAAAAAGGAAATGAATGGTCAATTTGAGACCCATGTTGAGTTGGGGCAGGTCCGGGTAAGTCATCAGTCCCCACAAACTTCATGCGAGCAACGCTGAGCACAAGTGCCAAAAGGACAAGAAGGCCAGAGAGAAGGAGACCAAATAACCATGGGCCACCAAATGTATAAATTAACTCTTCAAGAGGTGTGTAACAATGAGGCATGTGATATCTCTCTGATATGCATTTATAGGGACAAGGAGGTCCAGAGACACCACCTGCATATAACATATTCTTTAAAAATTAGAAGCTGTACGACATTTTACAAGAATCAACAAAAGGTGATATAAAGAACTCATTAAAATGATTGCAACTAGGGCATGATCCTCGTGCGCCAGAAATCTAAAGAAGTACAATTCAGACATTGGGGACATTAGCTTTAACATGTAGGAAATCAATAAATAAAAACTGAAAAAACAAAAAAAATAAGAATATCCTCAAAAGCAGCCAAGATTCAATATGCACAGAAACTCCACAGGATATCATTTAAATTATTGCCTTAAGCAACACAGACACAAGAAACAGACTCTTCAATAAAACAAACCTCGAACATTGATATATATTGCACGATGCGGTAGCTGCTCAGGTGGACAGGGACGACAAAGAGCTTCATTAGATCCAGTAACATTTTTGAAAGTTCCTGCTGGGCATTCCTGCAGAAGGAGATAATACGAGTTATTGCTGGAAATAATAAGCTCATACCACCTACATATTACATCGCACCAAACTCTCTCATATATGAAACTGTAAAAAATTGTGGGAAGCAGCATATGAAACTGTAAAAAATTATATGAACACCAGAAACATATATAAATGCTTTCTGACATAAAACAACCGGGAACTAGGTTCTGCCATGGTACAATGTTGTCAATCATGCACGATATCAATCTTCAACTCATAAGAGGAGACCCCATTGGTGCAAAAAAAGATTCCCAAATAGGAGCTCAGACAAGGAAAGGTTTCATGATATTTTTTATTGGAACCATCAGTTGTTAACGATGTTAGTAAGTTGATCATATTGAGGCCACAATCTACAGCTCAAGAAAGGAGACTCCCATGGTACATGTTTTTTTTTTGGGGTTGGGGGGGAGGAGAAGGCACCTAAGTCAGCAGCTGAAAATTCACAATTGAGATTCTTCCTCAAACATTCATCTGACAAGTTACAAGTTAACAATCTCTTCTATGTCTGACCATCATACATGATGACTGACCTAACCAAAAATCAAGATCCCATTACCTTCTATTTTTTTTTTTTTTTGTCAGGGGAGGGGGAAAGTAAATCACAATGAGCCATGTTCCTTTAGAGACTCAACTTACTGTGAAGTGAATTTATAAATAATATTTTTAACAGTTATAGTTACTAGAAAACTTCACCAAGCCAAAAGTTCTATAATTTTCTAGAAGCAACAGATGATTCCCTGCTTGATGGAACAAAACACGCAAGACTCAGGTGGAGCAGATGGATATATAAAGGCCATTCAACAAATTTTCGTATCTATTTTGATGATAACTAAGACTGGCAGTCATATTGGATCCTGCAGAACATCACTGAACCCCACTTCACTTTGTGTCTCGTGTCTCTGAATCTGACAACTTATCATATCCCAAGGTTTGTAGCATTACATGCTACTACAAGTCTGGATCATTATTCAACATCTCAAAATCATAATGACTAATATGCTTTCACAATAATTTCCTTTAAACATAATATGTAAGACAGATTTTAAACATACAGCTAGACAGCTTTTTGGATAAAGCACATTGCGGTAATTAATATTATCACTATATTTGGATTGCATTTTCAATTTTTATAGACCCTTGACAAATCCATGTTCTCATGGGGGGATGCTTCTATTTGAATATTGTTCTCCCTTTTATATAGTTGGAAGAAATAACATAGAGATGTGAAATATAACTTGATCCACAATATGAATCTTAAACCATAGTTGTTGGAAACGCTTGGGAACCCGAATCATTTTTGGAACCGGAATCACGGCCGGCTAGAAGATTCATGTCTTCGGAATCGTTTACAATAGGAATTGCTAGGAACGAGGTTCCTAGTTTTGGAGAATCGTGTTTCGACCGAAATAGATCCAAGTTTCATCCACATATGGAATCGAGATTACCATCCCTCTGTAATGGACACTCCAGGAGTCAAGATTCATTAATATGCGGAATTGAGTTTCCGACATCTATGGAATCGAGTTTCTGACATATGTGGAACAAAGATATGTTGTTGTTTCAAATCATGATTTTAACATATTTGATATCAAATTTTTGAAATATATGGATCAAAGATTCCATGCTAGTTTGAGATCGAGATTTACAATAACATGGACTATGGAATGCGTTTGACGACCCCTCCTTACCAGGAATCGAGATTTCATTTTTATAGAGAAGGATGCCACAAGCACATCTTGAGCCTCATCAACTTTAGAATCTATATTGGATGTCTCTTATTAGAAGGTTTCCCAAATTTTAAAGTGATTGTATTGATGATTGAACTTACGGTCATTATACAAAAGACAAGTATTTCTAAATTATTATTTTGACTTCATTATTATAAAGAGAAAATAGGATTATGTCTACGCCATGGTTTTACTTTTAATTGTATGTGTTGTACTTACCGGTTATATTTTAAATTTAAAGTCGAGGCCATCCAGGGTGGCACAAGTAAAATAATGAAACCCTGCAACTACTAGAAGCATTCGAATGAAGATTTCTACTCCAATTGACGTAGAATCAACATTTAATCCTCGTTAGAATCCAGATTCGATATATTTCGGAACATCTACCCACAATTAATGGATTCACGTTTCTAAAGATGTGTTGGATCGAGATTCTAAAATGAAGGAATCGAGTTTCCTTGGTTCGATAAATGGTTGTTAAAGATGTGTTGAATTGATATTCTGAAACTAAGGAATCGAGTTTCCTTGGTTCCAAAAAATGGTTTCTAAAGATGTGTCAAATCGAGATTTCGAAATTAAGAAATCGAGTTTCCTTGGTTCCTAAAAAGGTTTTCGTGGAGATTCCTTATTGGACCGTGGAATCGAGTTTCGAAACCATAAACGCGAGGTCGGTGGAGAGATTCTGATAACTATGGCTTAAATTTATGAGTCACATTATGAAGTTGTGGGAGAAAGTGATTGCGCAAAGACTAGGGAATGAAACAGGTGTATCAGAAAACCAATTTAGTTTTATGCCAAGGAGTTTAACAATTGAGGCTATTTTCCAACTTAGACAACTGATTAAGAAGTTTAAGGCGAAGGGAAAATACCTACATGGTTTTTCTTGATATGAAGAAAGCTTATGATAGTATACCTCGAGATCTAATTTGGTGGGAGTTGGAAAAGAAATGAATCTCCAGATACTACATCGGCTTTGTGAGAGATATGTATGAAGGGGGGCTAACTAATGTACAAACAACTAAGAGAGTGAGTTTTCAATGAGAATAGGTCTACATAAAGAGTTGAGCCCATACCTCCTTGTCTTAGTTATGGACGACCTCAACTAGGCACCTATAAGATGAGGTATTATGGTGTATATTATTTGCAGATGACATACTTTTGAACGATGGGACTCGAAGCGACGTCAATACAAAGTTAGAACTTTGAAGGAATGCTCTAGAATATAGAGTTTTAAAATTAGTTGGTCCAAGACAGAATATATGAAATGCAAGTTTAGCAATAATAGGAGTAGTTACGATTGGCAGCCAAGAAATACCCAAAAAGAGCACAATTTTGATATCTTGAGTCGATAATCCATGAGAATGGAGAGATTGAGGAGATGTCCCATATAGAATTAGAGTTGGGTGAGCAAAGTAGAGATGTGCAACTGAAGTTGTATGTAATCAACGCACACCAATGAAGCTGAAGGAGAAGTTCTATAAGATAATTGTGAGACCAGCTTTGCTTTATGGAGTGGAATGTTGGATGGTCAAGGAACAACATACCTATAAGATGAGTGTAGCTGAGATGAAGATGTTGAGATGGATGAGTGGCAAGGCAAGAATGGATAGAATTCAAAATAACTACAGTCGAGAGAACTTAGGTGTGGCTCCAATGGGCAATAAGATGAGAGAAAGCAAACTTTGGTGGGTTGGCCATGTGCAGCACAAACCCAATACAACACCTGTTATGAAGTGCAAGTTTGTTCAATGGAAGGCTCAAAAAGGACAAGGGGTAGGCCCAAAAGGGTACGATTGAAAGTAATAAGAAAATATATAGAGACTCATAGCGTCATTGAGGGTATGGCCCTTAATAGAGCAAATGGCAGACCAGGATTCGTGTCCAAATAGTTGGGAAAAGGTTATGATGATGATGGTGGCGATGTGAAATAAAACTTGACTAAGAACTGTTAACATGGAAAGAACTTATCATACGCCACCTATTAATATCAACAAGAATAAAAAACGCAGTTTTTATAGGTAGAAATCTTGTCCAAAATAAAAATTCCATAATGAAGCACACTCTTGACGCATACAATCTGATATGAAACTCATGCATTGTCTCTAATCATGGAGACCAATGATTATAAACTTGGCGACTTGAGCTCAGACTCGCCCAAATCACTTGGATGCCACAAGGTGCTGGGTCCAATTGAAAAACCTTGGGGACCGGCCAAGCCTCACCTGTTCCAAAGGTTCTTGCATTGTTTCTTAATAGGCTAGGCCAAAACAAAGTCAAATCGGGTGACTTAGACTTGGGCCTGCCAAATTCCAAACCAAAGGCATTGTTTTTAATCATTGAAGAAAACAAACCTTGGAAGGAATGGCAAGAAATCATATTTAATAAGTAAACGTTTGAACTTTAAAGTGTCAAGAATTATGGAAACTTTCCATCCAATCAAATATCATCCAAAGGAATATCTATGGCTTATCAATGCATTGAGAACCCTAACGACCTAAAGTGTACTCCTGAATAAGAAAAATTAAGACGGAAAAAAAATTTGAAAAATCCTTCAATGGTCCACAAGACACATTAGTCTTGCATTGTCCCTCTTGAAGTCACAATCAGACTCGAGGATTTACTATCCTCAAAAGGAATGCAAGATACTAAGAATGAGCCATGCATATGATTGATTCTAGCTTACAACATGACTAAGGACCAAGGTTTAAAGACCATTCCATTTGCTAAACAACTAAAATGAGTCATAGACGATGGAAAACCAGCAAAAAAACAAGCCACAAGTCAAAATACAGCTTGAAATGCATATTTGAATACAAGTACACTCGGAACATTGATGGTGCATGTTCATTTTGAGGCTCGTAACATGCATCATTTAAGACAACATTGGCAGACACAAAGAACATCACACATAAAACCAACGTGCACAACTCAATTATTCTCTCAGAATAACACTTTTGAAATCATTCACCAATCAAAAAAATAAAGAGATTTGATTAAATTCTTGAAAATGAAATGAAGCTTTTTTTTTAGGGCGTGAAAATGAAATGAAGTTCGACATGCTATAATTCAAATCATAGTGGATGTCCAAGGTTTCAAACCATTTAGAGAAAGATTTCTGAAATATCAGAACTTTTTTTCCCCCTTTTGACTTAACATCTAAACTATCAAAAGAACTTAAGTAAAATAAAGAGTATTTCTGAATCACCTCGCAAAATATGCCAAAAAGCCCTCTTGGACATTCTTTACCAGTGACAGTTCCATTATTCCCTCTAAGCCCTCCATCTTTGCCAGTGCCTCCCCTATCAACAAACGAGAACACAAATTATAAAAAGAAAGGGCGTTGTAGGAGCTTTAAAAAGAGCAACTAATAAATTGAAGGCAATGAAAGTCAACCAACAAATGAACCCAACAAAAAACATAAGATACCCAGATTTCTATAATCATACATCAAAGGTTTGTAAAATAGCCTTGCGTGTTCACTGTTTCTGGAAACCTCTTTTGTTGAAGCATCACTATAAAAGTACTTGTTATTGGACAGGTGACTTTACTTCATTGTCAAAATCAAGTATATGCTGTGTACAGAATTGAATTATGGTAGAATTCTCTAGTATATGACTTGCCATGTATCTAAAAGACTAACTTCAAGGGAGACAATTTGTACTCTCTTTCGCGGAGGCATCAGCAACCTCATTTACGTCCCTCCATGAATGAAGGAATCCTCTAAGTTCCTATTAGGTCAAAAATATCTCTGATTATATGGTGAGGCTCCATGATGTCTTTCTCCCGGCTCACGCAAGCAATGACATTAGCAAAATCCCCTTCAATGATAACTTTCTTTGATTTAGATTCAAGAGACCTGAGACCTGCAAGTGAGGTTCTCACCTCAGCCTCAGCCTCATCCAAATAACACCTCAAAAGGGGGCCTAAGTAAGACATAATGAGCCTGTCTTGATGATCTTTCAACCATCCCAAGTCAAGCAGGCCCAGGGTTTCTCCCCTTGAGCTTACATCAAAGTTTACCTTAACTCTACCCCACATAAGGGGCTCCCAAATATGAGTCCTTTTGCTTCTTGATAATGTTCCCCTTGCTGTAGCTTGCATTACATCTCAAAGTCTAAAGCTGAGTATCCCCCAAACTCGCTCTCAGCATGCGGTCATGATATAATAGTGGCCATCACCTTATCTTGTAAGCCTCACAGGCGAGATCCTTATCGCTGAAAGATCTATTATTCCTTTCCATTCATGTCAACCCAAAGTTGCCAATATTCCCAATCTCCATAAAGTCAAGCCATTTTTTGATATCATGACCATGCATAAGTACTTAATATCACATAAAATGCCCCCTCACGCTTCTCAAAATGAAGCACAGATATATCAATGCTGAAAAGGTAGTTTTGGAATTAGCATTTCTGATACTCGTATTTGTATCAAATACGAGTATTCCATAAAAGGAATTTCATAAAAGTCATTCCATGAAAGGCATTCCATAAAAGTCCATTAAACCCGAAACTTAGAAAAAGAATATGTTTATCAAGAAAGTATAATGGGAGGAAGTATTCCAGTTACAGCTGAGGATATTTAATGGGCTGTCGATCAAAATTGATGAACCCAATGAAATTCAAAACTTCAAAAGCACAATCAGGGCATTAAAAGGAGGTCCACCTCGACTCCTAGGTGGCACATTGAGGTGGGCAAAGACCCTAGTTGTGTTGCCTAGGCTAGTTGGGGCACCTAAGGCAGGGACCCCTCTAGGCACCAGCCTAGATGGCCAAGACGGCAGGTAGATGGTCAAGGTGCCTAACCCAAACAACCCCAACCGCGGCCCACCCCCCTAACCCCCTTCTCTCTTATTCACTGTTTTTGGGGTGTCTCAATCACGAAGCACCCATCTAAGCAGCACGTTTCACTTTCTAAAACACTCTGCATAATCAAAAATGCAGATACTACCAGGTTCTTAGGTTTGCTTCAAAAGACAGCCACAAAAGTTTATTTACACAAAGAGCAAAGAGAAAAGCAATGATTGAAGTGCCATTGTCTACATATATCCAATTTTGAGGATTCGATTTCAATCTTCACAACTCAAAACTATAGATCTAAAAATACAATAGCAAATCGTCAATATCAAATAAGTAGTCTCCTGAATTTCATTAAAATTTTGAGAACACTTCAAATGTGAAACAGATAAAGGACACTCTAAATATTCATGCACTGTAGGTACAAATTCTCATAAGAATACATCAGAGACATTTAGTCGATAAGACTTCTCATAAAGTAACACTTGAAGCACTATGAAGACAAATGCCTAGAAAATAAGATACAAACCTTGCACGTATTCCACCTTTGACGCTTGCCAGGGGTATATATTCATCACCAGTGGGAATGTCAGACCAATCAAAGTGGACTCTTCCACCTCCTCCACCCCCACCACCTGTGTGACTTCCATATCCACCAACACTTGAAATCATTGCATCTTCACCAAGTGTCAATGTCCGCAAAAACAAAAGGATAGTTCCACCAGACCCACCACCAGGTCCCCCGTTAAAACCAAACCCCAATCCGAAGTCCTGGTTTCCAGCAGGCAGTTGGAAACTTTCACCATCTGCTCTAAGAGATCCACCAACAGACAAGCTTGACAAAGAATGCTCCAAGGATCCCATCACTGATACGATCGAAATGAATCAGAAAACAATTATTAGAAACATTACAACTAAGAACTGCAGTAAATTATGAATAAGAACTTCCAATAATATATTGAACTCAAACAAAGATATTTTTCCTTGAAAATTCCATCAAGTAGCCCACATTCAAGTTTATAGGTCATAACTAACTAAAACACTAATGGCATATTATAGGTGACCAGAACACTATGATTGTAGCCAGTGGACTTGGGCCTTGCTGGAGTAGATATAATGGAGAGAAGTCGTCCTAAAGGCTATGACTATATCTTGCTCGAGCCCATAGGTGGAGTAGGGAAGCTACTGTACATGGAGGAGACAAAAGCTCTCTGGTATCAGGTTTGTCGTTAACCACCAGTGGTTCCTTAGGTAGTGGAGAGAGATATTGTTGGCATTATAAGAGAGGTTTGTGTGCACGGAGAGATACAACAGCATGAAGGGTGGCAGATATCCTAGTGGGAGTGAGAGCTCAATGTTATGATCTGTCAGTGTTCTTTGCACACATCTCAATACACCAAAGCATGTCAGTTCCATTTTAAGTTGCCTTTCAGTTCTTTTAGTTAATTGATACTACTATATCTGGATGTCTTTTAATCATCCCCATGTTTCTTTTGCGCAACTTGCACACTCTTACAACTGAAAAATAATTTACCAAAAAAAAACTAAAAAATAGACAGTGGACTCAACATGAAATAAAATTTTGATAATAGCTCCAAACTTGATTCCACGATCCATATAGGACAACGACAAAGAGCAAACCCGGAATCTACCCACAAATATAGAATGCCATCAAATGCGATTCAAACAGGCTTCATATTGACTTCATCTGATAGCATTTAGAGAGCTTTCTTCCACCAGAAGTATCCTGAGAGGAACCAGGAGAAAGCATCAAGCACCAATGCTAAACCTCCACCCTCGGCCTTACTGGAGTCATGCATCCCCAAGGAGCACAAAAACCTTTTTAGGATTGCAGCTTTGTTATCCAAGAACAGGCCTCCTACTTCAGTTGGGCCCGCAATCAATGTTGGAAAAGGCAGATTCAAAGATGCCTGAGCCACAAGGGGTACTGGACACCTAGATGGCCGGCTGGCCCCAAAAGAGGAGGGGGGGAGGGAAGAAGGAAGAGTCAGAGGGGGACTCATATAAGAGGGAAAGAAAGGAGACGGAAGAGGTAGCAGAAGAGATAAGAGGGCTGAATATATATATATATATATATATATATATACGAGAGAGAGAGAGAGAGAGAGAGAGAGGACAAGAAGGCAAAAGAGATGTAAAAGGTTAGGAACTGGAAAGGCGCAAGAACACTTGGAGAATAGGCCTTTGGCGTGTTTCGATTTTGGCCCTCCAATCTCTGTTGTGGTGGTGATAGAGAGACACATAACCCTGTCCTTTTGAAGAGAGAAACATGATTGTCATGGAAACATGTGACCCTTTTCTTTTGAAATAAGATACATGTTAGCTACACATAATCTAAATATCTGAATATTAACTAGTTTGCCCTAGGATTTTCATTAAGGACAATATGGTCCAATGGCGCTATTAAAGAACATGAGCCTTCCATTTCTTCTGCTTCTTCCACCCAAGCACCTTGCCATGAGGGTGCTAAGGAGGTGAGAGGTGTCTAGATGGGTGGCCAATACATGCCCACATAGTGCACTTGCCAAGGCCCCAGCAATTTGCTTGGCTGCTTGGAAAACCCAGGAAGGCGGCAGCCAAGTTTTTGAACAATGGTCACAATTACCAATATAGCTTCCCTCGAGGTTGAGTATCAACAGGCCTGAATGAGGCTTAATACTTTGCATCAAGGATCCATAAAGAAAGAGGCTTGCTGAAAGCAATTGTCTTCAGAAAAAAAAAAAGGCAAAAAATAAATCATTTTCCATTCCCTAATTGGATTTCCATCACTAATACCTTGCACTTCCTCATTGGGGCCAAGCAAATGATCGAATCATCAATTTATTTTAGCAAGATATTTGTTCCTCAAAATGGTTAGAGGACCAATCATCCAAAAGGCATTGTCTCCACTGGCATAGGGTAATGGAAACAGCTAATATAACTCAATAAGCACTGAATCTTCTGAAATTGCTGTTATATAACATGGTTTTATACTTTATGATCATTGCATATGCTTTCCAACAGATCTGCATGCAGAATTTTATTGAGCACATGGGTTTCAAAAAGGCATGCTTGTTGTGGAGCATGGGGAACAAGGCATAACTAGTTATGTGCATGATGTGTTTAGAAATCTGTCATACTAAACTGACCTATAATTTTTTTCATAACAATTTATAGAACCAAAAATCTAGACTTATCAACATATAATTTCCAAAAAAGATCAGTACCTAAACGCATGTAAAATGGTAATGCCTGCAAGGCATTAAATATTTGGGAATAAACATTAGGATCAATGGACATAGCTTTTTGCACACACACACACGATTGATGAGGACATCATGGTCTCCCATTGGACAAATATTATTGGTCATTTTTATTTAAACATTTAAGGGAAAACATGAGAAGAGTTACGGGTTTATTTTGTAATTTTGAGGGAGAGTGAAATTAAGTGTAATGTTGTTCGGTGTTATAGAGAATTCAGCAGTGGTGTAGTCCTATTATTATTTTATTTGATTAGTGGTATTATTTAAAGTTGTACAAAAGGGAGAGGGACTTCCAGCCCATTTGGGATTTATTTTTTAGAACTCTGAGAAAGAAAAACCCTAGAGGGGCTACTCGAATTCTTTGATTGAAGAAGGATTGGTAGCACTTAAAAGATTTTGCTATTCCAAGGTATTCTTCAATTTCTTTTTCTCTTTTTTCCCTTCTATTATCTCCTCTCCTTTTCTCCCTCTTTCTTTCCCTAAGGGCGTGTCTGATCTTCAAAAGAAGTGGATACCCCAAGTTCCATGGGCCCCCATGGAACTGCTGGTATCCACTTTTCAACCTTAAGGCATGTATCCACTTTACTGTAAAACTTCCCCATTATCAAACAGGTAAGTGTTGAAGTACTGGAAGGCGCGGTTTCCAGAACCACGTCTTCCATGAATCAAACATGCCCTAAACTCTTTCTCATCTCTTTTCGTACCTCCTTACCTTTCTTCCTCCTCTCTTAATGTTTCTCTCCCCCATATTTTTCCTGTTATCTTCTTTTTAAAAAAAAAAATTCTTTATCATAACCATCAAAACAGAAAATACACCACATTCAAAGAGTCCATCAAAACCTTTAAAAGAAAAAAGAAGTCCTTAAAATTAACCAAGAGAAAACATTTTGAAACTCTTAACCTCAATAGCCTCTCTGGAGTCAAAACCCAAATTTTTTACGCCTCATTAACTTCAAAACCCTAGAACTAGTCATTGAAACCATCCGAAATTAATTTAAAGTTGATCTACCCTTTTCTTCTTTCAAGGCTATAGGTCAGCTGTAAATTTGATCTGAATCAATTTTGTTTAGTCTATTTTTAAGGACATATTGCAACCCATTACGGATTCGAAATCTCAATCGCTAGGCATTAAAGCAAATTCCTAAATTGCATGTTTAATTTACACAAGTTTGTTTATTTAATTTTGTGGATGCGTAGAATTTGCTGATATTTAATCATATTTGAACTTAATTTTGAAGTATTTGCCAAACATGTTTTAGGGTCTTGCAATCGAAGATTAGTAAATGGTTGATCTTAGTTTACATCAATGAACATAGATATGATTCCCCATTAATGCATGCACAGAGTGAGATGCTAAGCACATGGAACAGATATCCCTATGGCTTGACTAGGGCCCTTAAAGCTCTCCACTGGCAAACTTCTTGAAATCCAGCCCTCTATTCCTTCATTAGAGCATTCATTACTATCAGCATATATAGTAACTTAGCAAATTGAACATGAGGAACCATACACAAGTATCATATTCCGCAAATCCTTCATGGCAAGGCAGGTAACAGAAAAAAAACAGATAATACCACAATCAACTTGTGAGCAGAAATGAAAGGACAAGAGAATTTCTCAAGTCAACATGCACCTTTAATTTCATATCTTTGAAAGCTTCCATACCTGAAGATATGAGAACGATACATTGAAGACCCTAAGAGCAATCAGGTATACCAAAGACTAACAGGCTCAATTTTTGCAAGCAAAAGCTGCACAGTTAGATGAAGCTAAAGAAACTAACAAAAGTTAAAAATTGCAGAAAACTTCCCTTTAACTCCAAGAAATCCACTGGTACATGTTGGACAAAAATTTATCATGAATGTTTTGTTAATATAATTATCACAGATAATTGTAGTAACATAGATTCAAATGCCCATTTCTCAACCACAGGACCAAAGATCAGATATAGACTTCTATTGAGTTCTTAACAAAAATGAATATATAAATAAAAGAGGAGTATGCAACAAACTCTAACAAACAATAAACCCTGAAGAACTTCCAATAATAAAACAATGAAATATATGCCCATTTAATATATAGATAGCAAGCAAGAACATACCTATGATACCCCCACCCGCAGTTGAACCAGCTAGGCTTTCATTTCCACTGCCACTTCCAAGCTCACATGGCAAAGCAGGATTTCCATAAACAGTTCCACCTTCAACATAACTATGATTATAATATCCAGCTCCGCCCTGACCACCATGGCCCCCACCACCACTAAGACCATTGCTCAAAACATTTCCTCTTCCCACACCACCTTTACAGCCTATTATTCAAAACATGCATACACACATATAAATCTACCCATCAGATAAGATTATTTTTCTTGGGTTGTGAAATACGCCAAGGGAGCATGAAAAAGAAAAAACTGACAATCCAATAATGCATTAAAAAATAATATGCACAATGCAAATTTTAAGAAAAGTACCTACCTAGACCGGACGCATCTATAATTCCAGTAGAGTGGACAACTACAGTTCTTGCTCTGTGAAAATGAACAACACTTCCTTCTATGAGTCCCTCAACAGAAATGTCCTCCACTCGACATATCTGCAAGTATGAAAGAAGACCTTATTCAAAAATAATACAATTTAAATTTCTTAAATTTTTCCTCCACAATCAACACATGAAATAAAATACAACACCTGAAGGGTGAAAGACAACGAGGAATTCACATTGCAATCTTCAGGTGGATGAAGCAGTTCGAAGGGGCAGTCCTGGCTTGTGCAATAAAGATGTGGTGTCCTGAACCAGGAAGTATCAAAACATTAAACAATTTTTCTCAGTTGCATGTGCATTAAAAATACAGAGCACCAAATACAAACTTACACATCATCTGTTGTTGCATTTTTCAGCGGACCTCTTAAAACAGATCCAGGTCCAACCTACATATAAAAATATAAAAGTTTACCCAGTAAGCATAGAACCAAGTCCAAAGGCTAAGATAAGAACCCCTAGTTCTAACCCATTTGCATATGGCTGTGCAATCATGACAAATGTATGCATATGTGAATGTGTGCAAGTGTGTTCATAGCAGCAAGGAAGTGCCTCCAAGCAAAATATCCTCCCACCTGCCACTTTTGGCAACAAAGCCCCTTCAGCACCTTTTGCATTTGATGCTTAAAATCATGGGGCAATTTCTTGGAAGGTTCCAGCATAGATCCAAGTCGAGTGTAAAGAAATTTGTGGAGCCAAGAAGTTAATGACAGGAAAAGAAAAAGGAGAGAAAAGGGGAAAGGACGAGACCCGGGGGGGGGGGGTTAACAACTGTTTTTCTTTCGGGGAGGGTAAAACTTTTCCAAATTTTCTATAGGGAAGGTAGGTAATGGGGCAGGCGGGAAGTGGCTAAAGAGGTATCCATTGCTGTTGACCATTGATTCATCAGCTGCCGATCTTGGGGCTGACATGTTGATATGAAGGTTCGGAATTCTGAGACTCTTAGGATGGGGAGGCAGTTACATCAGGAAGAAGGTTTAGAATTGAAGGCTCAATGATGCCAATGATCAGGATCTCATTAGAATTGATGATAAGCTCTATTACCAAGGACATATCAGTCCCTGTCTAGACAAGCAAGTCCTGGAAACTTCTGGTAGAGAGGATAGATGCCACAGGGCATATGGGGCAGTTTCCAATGAGGTTTAAGACGATCATCTAAGGAAAGAGTTGTTAGTTAAGTTGAAGCATAGTACATACAAAAGGTGCTTCACTTGTGAAGGGTGAGGCTACAAAAGGTATCATGAACATCTTTTATGGGCATCCTTGAGAGAATTATTGATTTTCCATCTTTTTTTAACTTTTGCGGGCTGTCACAAATATCTTTACTGCTCAGTGATACTCCAACTACAACAGTAACTGATGTCTCTTCAAAGGCATCCAAGAAGTTAGAAAATAAGGAAAAAGACCAAGGAGAAATCACAAATTCATATAAATGCATTGTTAACATTGGTGTAGATGCTCCAGCTTAAATGTTAGTGCCCAGATATCACAAGAGATGTGCAGAAAGAGAACCTAGCATAATTGAGATTGCTATGAACTCAAACTTTGAAGTTATTACCAGGAACAACTATAGCATAAACAGCAACAAAGTTTACAAATCATGGAAATAATTGCTCCAACTTCCTCCCCCATCTACCTTCATCTTTCTCTCTTCCTTTTCTTCCATTACTTTCTTTCTGTGCATTTTTCTTTTAAGTTTTCATATACACTACTTTTGGAGCCTGGTTTTTGGCCACTCTTCTTTCTCACTCTGAGCACCCAGTTTGTAGGCTGCCTCCTTTCTGTCTCGCTCTGAACACCTGGTTTGGGGGGCCGCCCTCCCCCCTTTCTCCCTTCCTTTGTCCTGGTCTTCTTCGGTTTTCTAGGTATCTACTGGTCTATGGATCACCTTCACTACTCTGCCTAACCCCCAGTGGTTGAGTACCTGGTTTGCGGGTGGCCTCCACTTACTTTTGACACATGCACTCTTAAGGGGAGTGGCACACACACCCCACCCCAACCCCCAGAAAACTAAAAAAAAAAAAGTTGTTTCTACACATTTGGATTTTTGTATATTTTGTGGGCTGCCTTCCCTATTCTCCTTATCCCTATTACATCTCACCTTCTTTCAAATATTCTCCATCCTTTTTCTTTCAGCCTGAACTTTGATCTTTGAAGCCTTTTCTAGCTTTTTCTCCTCTTCTTTCACTCCACCAACTGATAGCAGCAAGATTGGCCGAGCAGCTGATAGAAAGTCAGCGAACCACCCGCTATTGCCCTCCCTTCTCTCTCTGATACTTCTTCTATTTCCTCTCACACTAATTCCTACTTCCTCTTCTATTTTTCCTATTTCATCTCACCCTAATTCCCCTAGCATTGTCTCTCTCCATCCCTTTCTACATCATTGGCACGAGTGGTGGAGTACCCGACATATGGATGACCAACCACTCTTTTTTTGTTTATTCTTTTTTGCTTGTAGCGAGCACCATCGTAATTCATACAGTCAATTTTTCCACTTGCTTGAGCAAATTTCATCAACAAACTACTAACAGCAATGTTGTCTTTCGACCTACAAGTACCCTAATTAGTGTATTTCTCCAGTAACCCGCTAACATGATCTTCACTATGCATTTTTACAGAGAGATCCACAACAGTTATATGATATTTTGTTTCTAGCATGGACCAAACAGTTCTACAATACAATTTCTTTTGACTAAGCCAGCTATAATATATAGTTGACACTTATGAATACTTCTGAAAACCTAGAGTCAGCTTCCTAAAAGATATACCTCATACAGAAAAATTCTAACAACAACAAATTTACAAATTCAAAGGTAATTAAAACATAGTAAAAGAGAAAGTTTGATTTCAACTAAACAAAAAATAGATGTGCTCTAAGCTTACAATCTTACATGAATATTATAAAATAATGAAAGGATAAGGCGTTGGGCCTCAATCCGATCTCCTGGTCCCGACAAATTAAGCAGACCTTGGCCATGCACTCCCAAATTTGAATTAGAATGTATGATTGATGACTCCTGATGCATGATGAGAGGGAAATAATTACAAATAGTGAAATCCACAAAGCTCATAACAAGATTTGGCATCAAACAAGTTCAAGCAATACCCTGAGAACCACTAGATTACTAGCCTCCAGCAAAGATGTTGCAACAATGGAATCTCCCCCTCCATCGATAAGCATCTTAGAGTTCCACATCAAAAGCATCTTCACAGACATACGCAGAGCACCATACACCTGAAATTATTTTGAAGAGTAATCATTTGCAAGTAATTAATTCATGATTAAAATCAAGAACAAAAAGGAAACCCAATACTTTTTAGATAGTTAAAAGAAAACCATGGTATACATCAATAAACAGACTAAAACAACATAAAACTAAGACTTCTAAATAGCACCAAGAAAAAATAGAACTTGCATCTACTGAGAATTCCTAAGATTCCACAAAGAAGCCAAGCAAAAGACAAAAGAAGCAAAGGATGAAAACATTTTCGGAGAAAAGTTTGAACATATTACATGATTGTCACTAGAGCAAAATAAATCATGACGCCTTGATATTTTGAAGAAAGGATTGGAAGTGATTTCGAGGATCACACGACCAGAACAGTCTCCATCTCATCAAGAAAAATGACTGAAGGACTAAATTTTAAATTACCAAATAATGAACCAATCGATGGCTCTAACATATATATCTGCAACATATAGAATTAATATTAAAGCTCACAGCAGCTTTTGAAGAGATAGACTTCTGCCAACACAGTATGCAGTCTTGATTGGAGCAAGGACAAAACAAGTACAAGAAGCTAAAAAATTGGGTTGTTCCAGATCATATTACACCTAAAATTAGCCAAGTTAAAACAAATATTTGTCTCTTGGAAAAACTAAGAGATATATGCGTTGAAGCAAAGAAATTATCAATATAGTAAACCTGATGTCCAAACAAGTCTTTAACGAGCCCACACAAAGCACATTGCATGCCTGGACACTACTGACACATCCTTACCACTTTCATGATAGCTGAAAGAAAGAAGGCATATCACTACCCCCCTTCATTTATGCTTGAAAGAACTCCATAAACATGAAAACAAGCACATACATTGTGAAGATATCTCTCAACCCGGCTGAATCATCTTCAAATACAACATATCTGAAGTTACAAAATACATTGCTATGCGAAACTTTTTATGCATTTTTAGCAAAACACAACAGACATGCGCTGCTTGTAACAATGCTAAGTCATAGACCATAAAGTTACCATGCAAGTGACCTCTCCTCATAATCAAAGCATGTCAACCATGAACTTAAAAGCTACACAGGAAGTTGTTTACAAATGCTCTTGTTTTTTCTTTTTTTATATATAAGAAAAGTTAACTTTATCTATGTATAAACAAAAGTACAAAAAAGAACTCCCCAAGTAGTCAACCCATAGACCAGGTGCTCAAAGCACTCGGGGCTGTTGAGAAAGAGAGATAGAGAGAGAGAGGAACTCTGACCAATGTAAGTAAGGCTTCCCACACCAAAGGAGCTGAAAGCTAAAGAACAAAAAAAAGCAAAAAAACCCAAAACAGGCTACCCACAAGTCATGAGCTCAAGTATCGAGAATTAACAGGTGGCGACCCCACCTGTTAAGCACCCTGCCTATCATAGACTGTCAGCTGAGGAAGGAGGGGGGGAAGAGAGCGCGATAACTGGCGAAAGAGGAAGAGAAGATGGAGCAGAAAAGAAAAGAGAGAATAGAGATTGAGAGATAGACAACGGAGGAAGGTATGACCTCAAGCAGATAGTAGTAGGTAGAGGTGAAGGAAGAGTATACGTGGAGCAGAAAAGAAATGAGAGAATAGAGAATAGAGATTGAGAGGTAGACAAGGGAGGAAGGTATGACCTCAAGCAGATAGAAATAGGTAGAGGTGCAGGGGAAGAGAGAGAAGAGGAGGGGCATAGAGGAAAAGGATGCAAGATAGAGGTAATACATTGAGAGACACCCTCCTTGGCCAGCACATCAGCAACAGTGTCAACTGCTGTCGACAAATTGCAGAAGATGACGTGGATGTTCCTGCAAAGCTCGTAGATATGGTCAAAAAGATGAGCTTTTCTCCAAGGTGGTTCAGAGATATTAGCAGCCCACAACATGACATTCCTACAGTCCCCTACTACTTACTATAAGGGAGTCAACACCAGGGTGAATGACGAGAGAGCATGTTAGACCCTCCAAAATAGCCATAGACTCAGCCGTGGTAAAGTCTATATTGTAGATACCCTGAAAAGAAGAGGATTTCTCCTTCGTGCTGCCCAATCTACCGCCATATCCTGAAGGCCCCAGATTCCCAAGGAAGCACCCATCAACATTAAGCTAAAGCAAACCCACAGGTGGGGAAGACCAGAGAGGCCTGGCCACCTGAGTTCTAGGGGCAAGATGCAAAATGTTGAGCCAATTCTGATTGAAATCAGCACTCGCGGAGTGGAAGACCCCTGACCCACGATATGGATTCGGCTTGATATGACCAAACAGGGCTGAGGCAGGTGATAATGGTCTCCAAAGATCCGTCCATTCCTTTCCTTCCAAAGTCCCCAGAGAAGGCCAAAAACTGATCCTACCCAAAGGAGACAACTTATCTTGGGGATTAGGGGGCATCCCAATGAGGAGGAGATGTTGTGCTGACCTCAGAGTGACCTACTGGAGGCAGAGCTGCAGGAGATAGGACCAAAGAGATACTGTTTTCCCATAGCAAGAGATGGCCAACAGTTTCTTCCTCTTGAAGGCCCATGACACAGTGGCTGGGTAGCTGCAGCCCCCTCCTTAGGAGTTGAACACCAGTCAACACCCTGCCATGGGTCAAGTTGGACCTTGTGGGCCACAGAGGCTGAAATTTTGAGTAGGAGATAGGCAGAGGAGGAGGCAGAAGGGTTGCGTAGAAGAAAATTTCCACAGGCCAAATGTTAGGCCAAATTCCCAACATTTTAGACTAAACATATGCCAGTTCAAAGCTCCGGAGAAACAGCCAAAGATTGTCCAACTGGGTGGGACAGGCTTCGCAGAAGATTACAGTGTCATCTGTGTAGAAGAGGTCGCTGATAAGTGGGCCATCTCTGGTTCTCTCGTAGAGCCTGGTAATGGCTCTGAGAAGAGTTATCCTATAATAACAAACAAGACGGGGGAGAGGGGATCACATTGGTCTAAACCCTTGAGACCGAAAAGAAGCCTTCCAGCGAGCCATTAATTGGGACCGAGAAACTGGGATTAGAAAATGTATCCCTGGATCCAAATTCTCCATTTGGAGCCAAAACCCACTTTAGACAAGATATGTCAAAAATTGACGAATCTATATGGTTGTAACCTTTTTCCAATCAAGCTTGATTGCTAAACCCTGCCTCCCCAACTGTTACGTAGAATGGATGCTCCATGTGCCAAAAGAGCACCATCAAGAATCTACCTTTCAGCAAGCAAACTCGACTGTGTTGTGGAAATGACATTGCTAAGCACCGGCTTTGGTATGGAGGTGAGGACCTTGGATGGAATCTAGTAAGCTGATTGGCCGAAAATCCTTTTCTTTTTTTTCTTTTTCTTTTTGCATCTTATCTTAGGTAGGAGGGAGAAAAAAGTAGAATTTATGCCTTTATGGATCCAGCCTCTTTCATAGAAATGGTGGAAGAAAGCTAGAGAGTCTGACGCGACCAAGTTCCAGACTGGTGGAAGATGGCTAGGGAAAACCGTCGAGACCAGGGACTTTGCTTTGTGCGAGTTCAGCCGCAGCATTCCTAATTTCACTCTCAGAGAAGGGTCGTTCTAACTTCAGACTCAGAAAGAAGGAATTTCACTCACAGCAATTTCTTGACGCATAACCACATACCCACTAAAAACACCATATAAGCACAACTACAACAACACCAATAAACTCAAAACCAGCTCTTTACCGTGGCAAAAGAAAAAAAGGAAACAAACAACAAGGCCCTTACCTTAATTACTGAATCACTCATAAGAAGTTCTTCAGCCATAAGCTCAAACTCTGAAAAAGGATAGTGAGTCAGTCCAAAGCTGAGACTTCCGCCATGTAGTAAACTTAGTTGTCCCTGGACCTGTTTAGTACGAAATAAGAATACACCATGGCAATTAGACATGCTTACAAAATCTCTAATGAAACAGAATATAAAACAATTTAAGCATAAATCAAATTGTAATCAAGAATCAAAGACAAAAAAAGTCATATATAAGGAGAAACAGAAAAAGACAAGGAAAAAAGGGCATCGAACTAGGTCATAGCATCCATCCCAATGATGGACATGGCCTGCTTTGCTAGCCAATCCAACATCTTAACAGACTCATTATCATAAATGAGAGAGAAACAGCACCAAAGGAATCCACTAAGGAAAATTTCAAAAAAAAAAAAAAAGGAATCTACTAAGAAAATCTCTTCCACCACATAAGCTAGCTGCCACGAGTTATTCAACAGCCTATGGGACCAACAATTAACAATGAGCAAAACCGTCCACAAACAAAGAAATCCAAATGGGATGTCATGAAGGTCCTTAACTTGCTAAAGAGGAATCTCTCCCAAGTAGACGACGCGTCATGGTTTCATAAGGACTGCTGAAAGACATGCAAAATGAGTCCTATACACATCAACTACAGTACAAGTTGCTAATGAACTACTATCAAATTTGAACTTTGGGGAACTATTCAATGCGGGTGTCCAAACAGAGCATAGTCTATGTTGCATCCAGTGATCAAAAAATCGGCGAGCTGACTTGGAATCATCCAAGTGGCTCAGACCCCTAGGTCCCTAGTCGGATAGTCCTGAACCAGGAATGGCCCGGGTTGTCTAGAACCAGTTTATTCACTATAGAAAACAGCCCGGTTAACTATATGGACTCGGGCGTCTCTCTCATTTAGAGCGATTCTAGGGGAATAGCCCTGTCAGATATAAACCCCAAAAGTTATTCATCTGATTTTATTTTATTTTGTCTATATCTTTGATCCAGGCTCATTTGGGACAATTTCAGCCTCGTAGCCAATTTTGGATGAAATTCAAGATCCATCACAATTTTTGTGAATCAAACCCATTTTTCTTGAAAACAAAAGAGTCCAAAAATTGGGGGTTTTGTTGAATATCAACTCCAATCTCATTGATTTGCAGTGTAAACCCAACATCTCCCATGTTTATTTTTAGAGTCTTAGGGTCGATCTACAATAGGTATTTGGTTTGTGTAGATTTCATTTTTTGTTGCTCATTTTTCATTGATCGACAATATATCGATTTAAAATAATATAGTGCCAGTAAATTAAGGCCCTATTTTAGTTAGATCAAGCTATAGCTGGTCAACAGTTAGATCATGACATTTTTCTTTGATTTCAAAATTTATTCGCCTCTACAAACTCAGGAAAAAAGACATTTTTTTATTTAGCATTTCCTATAATTATATTTTTGTATCATTTCCCCTTGTCTATTCTTGAATATTCAAGAATTTTTTGTGATTATTCAGGAATCATTTGTTTATTTTTTTTGTTTTATTTACTCTGGTCATTATTTTCTATTTTTCCTAAATGATATCTCTCGTTTTTTTTTTTTAACGCTAACTGATATTTCTTGTTTACATGTATTCCTGTGTGTTACGGCTTTAGAGATGCAAATCCCGAGCCAAACACATTCAGTTTGAGTTAAAACATTACTTTTTCCCCCAATTTTTTGTGCATTATAATGCTCTCTCAATATTATTTTCAGAGGAATTAATGTTTATTTTACCAAAAATTGGGAACAAGTAATTTTTTACATTAAAATGTTTGCTGGTTTTTTGTTTTATTTTGTTGATGTAGGTTTTAAGCCTTCTATTGCAGACTTTTAGAAGTAGGCCACAGCCTAAAGAGGAGCCTCCAGCCACAGTAATAGGGTCAGAGCACATCCGAATGTAAGAAATAAAGCCTCTTTTTTGTGAAAAGAAGGTGAGTGGCAATATCAAACACTTTTAGTGACGGTGAGAGGTGAGGTCGTTCCATGCTCAATGTAACACAAGTAGTGAGGAAATAAATGTTGGCTATTATCACTACAAGGAAAAAAAGGTTCCCCAACAGAAGATGACTGAGGAGATTAGCAACCAATTAGAGGATGAGGAGTTTGAGGCCCAACTCATGCTTGTGAGGGGGTAAAATTGAAGGATATGCTCGTCAACAGAGTGGTACAGGGAGTTACCTCTGGGGCCATCACTAGTGGTACAAGGAGTCCTCAGTACAGGCTACCTCAAACCACATTGCTGCGGATAAGAGGCATGTGCTCCTAGTATTATTCAGAGTACCAATTAGGTGGAAAGGGGTGTGGCACAAGAAGCATGGGCTGGGAGGCAAGGATCACTGGGTCTTGCTGGGCGCACTTAGCCAACCAACCTTTGCTGCTTTTTTTTTTTTTTGGGAACTCGACCTTGCTGCTTTTATAGGGTTGAATTGGCCCTTACCTTTCTGGGCCTTCACATGAGCAGATGAGCATCAAGCTGAGCTTTACCAAATCAACATGGAAACGTGTATGTAACACCATAGCGAAGTGGTTTTACGATGTTGCGATGCTCTTCAACACAGCCAATAGAGAGTATCATGCACAGATGATCTCCATTATTGCTAATGTAAGACCTATAGTTAAGGCCCCCACTAAATATGAACTTCATGGGCTCTTTTTAGATGAGGAAGTGACTGAGGGAAGTCAGTTCCACGGGGACAGTGGAACTGTTCCATGGAATTGTGGAAGAGAACAGGGGTCACAATCATGTATTTATGGCTCAAAGGATATGAAAGGGAGAACTTCTCTAATTTCACGATGGCTTGTTGGCAGGGGACAGTGTTCTACACAAGGTAGATGCCACAGGAGCAGTGAATGCAAGCCCTTTGTAGTTTGTTGGTTAGTGGTGAGGCAAATGGGTGAGGAGTATGTAATTCAAGTTCTAATTGATCATAAGGTGAACTGCACCAGTGTAAAACTGCACCGGTGTAGGGAAGAAGTTAATGAAGAAATTGGCATGGACCCTGTGCAGCCCAGACCATTGATCTCATCTTCAAAGATATTGGAAAGCTCAAGAGCATGAAACACATTCCGGATAAGGAAAGACTATCACGAAGTTTATAGACAACGATTCCAACATCCTAGCCTTGATGAATCGGCACAATAATGGGAAGGAGCAGATTAGGCTAGGCATCACACCCTTTGTAACCTCATTCTTGTCCATGGAATCCATTTGGAGGCCATAATCAGGCTCAAGAAGATGATTGCCTCAGATGTGACCAGCATCTGAAAGCAATAGCTGAGTAGAGAAGATGTGGAATTATGGACTATGACTCAATGAACTTGGATCATGTATTTATGGAGGATCTAGCTGAGGGGTGGGTGATTGGTAGAAATGAAGGAGATAAATCTTAATACGAGGAGGGCATCAGAAGAAGAGATGGGCCACATAAGCAAGGCTAAGGAAGGAGGTGCAAATTAGCAGGGAAACATTGGAGGAGGTGAACAAGTATAGGGAAACTATAATTTAAAGAGAGTGGGAGATGCAGAAGACGATGCAGGAGATGATGATGAAGCCACTGATAAAGGATGGTGGTGACCCAAGGGTGCCTGAGTCCGAGCCTGAGCAGCAAGGCAGGCGCAAGCACAAGGTATGTACTAACATTGAGGACTTTGGATTACGAGGGGGTACCAAGTTCCACAACTAACAGACTCATTCCTCAAGCGATATAAATATGTTTAGGATGATGGTGCTCGAGGTCATGGGTTAGAAATAGGTTCCCAAGTTCCCCACCTGACAAACTTGTTCCTCAAATCGTGTTCCTCAACCAATTTGAATATACTCAAGGTGACAGTGATCAGGGTTGAGCCTCGTCATTCATATTGACTTCAGATTGTGTACTATTACTTATTTATTATTTTGAAGTGCTTCCATTAAACGCCTTACAGTTATGCACTTCATTTTGGATTGTGAAATAAATGTCTACATTCAGACAGATAAAACATCTTAGTATTGATAAATTTTGAAAATTTCATCAAATACATGATAATGTCATGGATTTTTTGAGAACTAACAGAATATACTTATAGAAATTTTCATATTTTCTCCTTTTTTTCCTTTTACGGTTTGGGTCTTACTCCCTCTGAAAACAGAAGACAAGTCACCCTTGCTAGTGTCTCAAACAGCACTGATTCCTGTGTTTTAAACACTAGCAGCAGCTACAACAACAAATAACCACCACTGTCTGTCTGATACCATACCAGACATTATGCAGAACTAGATGTAGAACTCTATTAGCTTATGCCAATCAGTGAAACTGCAATAAAATCATTGCATTAAAGTCATCTTTCAGACATCTACAACTCAGTACCAATTCAGTATGAGCCAAAACCAAAACTCAAATATTTTCATTTTTTAAGAAAAATGTCAAAATAGAAATATTAAATTTGAACATTTCAAAACCATTATACCCACCCACCCCCCTCTAACCAGGCATCTCATACTTTTCTCCAGTATATTAGGAATTGATTCCACTCAAATTCATGGTTTTGTTATGCAACTCCTATTATTATAACAAGTAAAACCATCCTCCCCTTTTTCGCTTTTAATTCAATTGTTTTCAACTTCATCATTCCCTTTGGAAGCTAGATTTGGCCTTTCATTTAGAAAAAAATTTATATGAGGTTGGCACTTTAAAATGTACAATGAGGTGCACCTCTAAAATTCTTCGAAAAAGGTTGTTTAATGCTGTAAAAGCATCGAATAGATGATCTCGACATCGAGATATATAGATATGGAGAAAAAAAGACATTTCAAGTCTAAAAATATTACATCTTGCAACAAATTATCTGGACCGTCCATTTTTACGATTTTTCATGCGTTTATAGATCTACTTGATTTGAACCATTTTTGGAGTTTAAAATTTTACAAGTAAAGATAAAAATAGATTTTTGCACCATCCTAAGAATCTTTGACACCAAAATTGCATCTCATGACAAAGTTTGGAGGTACACCTTAATTTGATTGTTTAAGGTTGCAACCTTATGCAAACCACACCCTTCATTTTATTCAGTGCTACAATTAGATGTATTACACTCAGTAGTAAAAGAAGGTATTCAATGAACTGGTGATCCAGAGGCTCCAATATTCATTGATTTATGTCAAGTGGAGAGAACTCAGGCAAGCACTGCCAATTAAGCCTTCGATATTGTCCATAGTTAAAAGCAACAAGGCTTAACAGTTAATCCTTAATCCTTATCAATTTATTCATTAGTTAATAGAGACAACGATTAAAAGCTAATCCTTATCAAGTTTCCTATTGTTCATGTTTACTGAAAACCCAAGGTTTTCAATTTCAGAATCAAAAATCGCCCAACGATATCTATACACATAAGGAAGGTCTAAATGCAATAAAACCATAGAATTATGGAAAAGGATATCAAACTATCAAAAAGATAATTTTTCCAAGCAAGCATCCCATATTACTGTAAAAACTGATAATTTCCTAAGACATGGAGTATCCTTTACCATTGTCTCTTTGGAATACTAAATTTACAGCCTTGCATGATTTACATGCCCATCGAAATGAATTAATGTGATTCCGATGATACTCAGCTTGCACAAAAAAGAGTTTGGTCTAAGGATAACTATCTCAAAATGCCAAATCCACAAACAAAACTGTTGCAATACGTTTAAGAACCATTGTCAATCCAATGTTGTCAGATTCGCTTCAAAGTCTTCTTCAGTTTGGTGGGAAAAATGAAGCAATTTAGTGCTTCAGCCTATTCGGGGAAGACTTTGGACTTTTATAAAAATTTAATATAAATAAATTAGATATTGATACATAAAATATATATTAATAATAAAAAAGTAGAAATAAATTACAAAAAAAAATTAAAATAAATAAAAATTCTTTTATCCAGATATTTCTTTGCTTAGGCTGAAGAAGCCGAAGCTTCAGCCCAAAGCAGACCCGAATCTGCCTGAAGCGACCCGAATCTGACCAAAGCGGCAACACCAGGCTTCGATTCCCTTCGGTCTAGGCCTAAAATCCAAATGCTTCGGCTGAAGCGAAGCGAATTTGACAACATTGAGTCAATCTTTTTTTATCTTCCAACTTTCAAAAGTTTAACTAATACTAATTCTTTTGTTTTTTTAATAAGTTGACTATTATACTAATTGATATTAACTTGACTTCTTGAAAAAAATTTATCTTGAAGCATATGCAAGAAGAAGCAGGGTTGAAATAGAAGGCAATAGAATATACATCAAAAATAAAAGATATATAAGAGTCACAATATCGTTAAGTTCAAAATAAGAACCATATCTTCATAGTGTGGTTAGCCGACCTCAAATAATTGGAATAAGGCTCGAATGACAATGATGATCTTCATAGTGGGATTCATACACATCCTAACTATAGAACAAGTACAAATGCAATAGCCACAAACATGGCATCTACTACCAAGCCACGCATCATAAATAAAAATATCCTCACATATTAAAAGCAGAGAAATAAGGAAACAGAAAACAGCTAACCAAAGAACAAATAGCTCACTTCCTGGAGACTTGTCATTCCACATCAAGATAAAAAGGAACACAGGATTTAGGTCCAAAATGTACCAACCCTTAAATAGAGATCAACAGCAAATTTACCATAAAATGCAAACTAAAAGTAAAGTCCTATGTCGTGAAGAGTCAAATCTATAACAAACCTGCACACGGCTCCAAAGCAGTGGAACAACCACTTTGGCAAGGTTTTTGACATAGACATTAGTCCATAAGGGCTGATTAGGAAAATCCAACAGAAGAGTGTCAGTCTGAGTTGTCATGTTATTATTGCTAACAAAGAGAGTTCGAGGAAGACAATCATAAAGAGTCCCCGCAGCACCCGCATTTTCTGGACATCCACGGCTCATTCCTCCTGCAACATTTAAGGTGGTTGTGAAATTATGAAGACTTTTGACACTCTCATGCATTCTAGTGGAAACTTCAAAATCATTAAAACTCATAAAAAGTCATGTCCAAAAAATGGGGTCCACAATCAACAGTGAGATCACCTTGGGAGACAAACCACGCAACCAAGAAATAGAATATGAAGCAGAAGTGACAGAGAGAATCCGATCCCTTCCAAAGATATATTAGATGACTTAACACATAAATATACATAATTGAATTCAACCATTTCTGAATTTAAAGCGGCACGTTTGCTTCTTTTTGACCGAGTTCCCAAACATAATCTAATTTCAAAATTCCAATTGATTTCCAGAAGTACATTCAAGTAAAAATTACAGAAAAGTTTCAAATAAAAAAAAAATTGTTATTTTCCTTTAACAGAAAATTATGAGTATAGGCAATGAACTTCATATCAATTTCATCTCAAAATAAAAAGGAAAACGAAACCAGTTCTGAATTTAAACTGATAGCTTGGCAACTTTTCATTGTTTGTGTTCATATTCTCGATAAACTCAATTTCTGTAAAATGAATATACATGTATATCTCATTCTCTGATAAATGAAACTACAGTTACAAATCAGAAGCAAAAAAAAAAAAGGACTTACATCCAATAAGGCATTTTGAAATTTTTTCTTCAATATGATAGAGCATTAGCACCAAGACAGAGCAAGGACAACATTAGAAGTATCCCACAGGTTGAAAATCATCTGGATTATGACACCACCTTTTTCCATAGACATCAAATAGCATTTGACAAATCATTCACAACATACAAAAACTGCCATACTTAAAAAACTTTTTTCAAGTGGATAAGCTGGAATTAGAACCCAAAACCAACGTGCTGCAGTTTTCACTCACATTCTTTATCACAAATATTCAACAGTTCTCCATGGGTAGAAAACCAGGGAGAAAACAGGACCATTTATCTGTGGCTTGTTCAGAACCACAATAACCACTGAACCAGGAGACCAATTCTAATATACTAAAAGGCTGACAAGGCATTTTTAGCTCTAAAAACTATACAGGAAAAAGTCTTTCCTTAGTTACCACAGGTTTACCAATAAATATTTTGCTAGTGAGGGAGAATCAAGAGTTTGCCCTAATTTTCCAATCACATAAATTGAATCCACGAACCACTTGAACTCCAGGTAACAGATGGCAACTGCATGGTCATTGTTGGAAGGATAGAAGGGAATATGGATGCATAATACAGTTTTCACAAAATAAAATGTAGGCATAGAAGTATCAAGTTCAAAAATGACCAACTGCCATAAAATCAAAGACTTTCACTACTTATACATCAATCTGCCTCCAGAAAATCATGTAGAAATGTAGCTAATAAATATACTACTATGCTCAGTATCTAAAACTCATCAAAAATGCACATAAACTGTAAAATATAACATCCTGTAACTTCTATTAACAACAGAGAAAGTCAGCATGTGCAATGAAAACCTAGAACTACACCTTAACTAAAGGTTTTTCTAACTACCTATTTCATGTCTTATGCCAGTGGAGGAAGTAAGGGCAGGTTCAGGTCATTGATGGTGTGCATGGTCACTCAACCATAAGGACTTTAGAACAATAGGGCGGGTAACACATTTGATGAGTGGGATGTAGTGCTGCAGCCTCACCTTCCCTTCATTATAGGATTGGGGAGACTGCCACCCAATGACGAATTACCATCCCCTCTTCTATTATATACATGTACACTTACATTAAAAAATAAGAATGTTATTCTTTTAAATAAGGGTGTGGTTTGTATAAGGCTGAGGTCCTAACCAACCAAAGTAAGGCGCAGCTTCAAATAGAACCGAAACATGTTGTTTCAGTATAAGAAATTTTGTGATGGCCAGAAAATTTATTTTCATATCCAATTATAAAATTAAAAAATAGTGTACGTCAAGCAGATCTATGAACACTTGAAAATTGACGATCCAAATAATACATAACAAGATGCACTATCTCAAAGACTTCACATACATCTTGAGGTCGAGATGATCGAATTGAGGGCTTTTTAACATTGAAACACCCCCTTTTAGTAAATTATTTAGGTGCATCTTAATTTGATTGTTCAGGGCCTCACCTTTATATAAGCTTTTTCCTTTAAATAAAGGATAGGGATTTTTTTCTTGCTAGGAGAAGCAACCTGTCCCAGGAAAGGGTTCCAAGGAGGTTCAAGATCTAGTAATTTGTTCCATTAAAAAATGAACAATGCCATGGTACTCTTACAAGCAATAGAGTGCATTAGACCCAGAAAGGAAGAGGAGAATGAAGAAGGCCTTCATGGTACTCTTACAAGCAATAGAGTGCATTAGACCCAGAAAGGAAGAGGAGAATGAAGAAGGCCTTCATGGTACTCTTACAAGCAATAGAGTGCATTAGACCCAGAAAGGGAGAGGAGAATGATGAAGGCCTTCCTTTTAACAATATAACGATGGAGATAACTGCAGATAATTCTACAACAACAAAGCTCAAAGACTAGAACTCAAAGCATGCATCAATAGAGCTCAAAACTAGATCAGCCTTCTTTCCTCAGATGGTCCCCTAGTGGGGAGATAAAGATTTCTCATGGAAGATCACCTCTAGCATTGGTGCCTCCTCCCAACATGTTCCATACATTGGTGGTGGAGGAAAGAGTAGCCCGTTTTCTCGTTCATTGTAAATTTGCCAAACAACAGATGGGAGCTTATTTCTAAACCTGTGCGGTCTTCTTGGATGATGTCGGCATCCATTGACCAGCATAACGCGTGGGAGATGGTAGCTTCCCAACCCAAAAGGCCATATATTATAGAGGTGAAAAGAATGCAATGCTCTTTTTTTACCGATAGGAGGAGAAGTCAGGATGAGGTAGCAGCGACGACTCGTGTTAGTCATTTTATAGGCTCTTGCTAGAGATGTGTTAAAGCAGTGATTCAAAAAAAAATTGGGCTCATGTGAGAGAGGAGTTACAGCAGTGATTCAAAAAACTCAGTGATTAGGGCTAGGACCTGTCCAAGTCGCTCTGATCTATCAGAGTGCCCATTCCCAGTCAAAAACCCTGAGACTAGCCCAGAGTTTGACCAGGTCCTGGACCTACTGTGTAAGTTTTACACGAACTCCCATCGCGTCAGACTGATGACTCAGGCTTGAGACCCTGGCTAGTCCGAGCCCAAGTCCAGGTTTTCAACTCTGAGTAGAAAATAATTTAAGATGCAAGACTTTATGACAGATTGAGTATTAGTGATCAACAAGAACTGGCCAATAGTGACAAGGTCACTTACCAGAGGGCATACTTAAGCTGAATTTTGAAATTTGATGGTAGTTATTATGGCAACCTTGTTGCAGAGGGTTGGGTTGTATTGTTAGATAACTCAGGTAATACGACATTAACTACTCAGGACCAGCAGGTATTGGTGATGATAGAGAGGCAGAAAGTGAGGCTCATCAGAAGATCATACTTTAATTCTTTGGACCATTTATTGTTGATAGGGATTTCCTGAAAGTGAAAGGATAGGCTAGAGATAACAAGAAATTTCCATGGAGGATGTAGACAATTTGACGAGATATTGCTTCCAATGAAATATCTTTCAGAAAACATTTTCAGGAAGGCCCATGCTGGAGCATATCTATTGGCCAAACAAGAATAAAATAGGGACTAATGTTTTCGTTTTCTTCTACATTTTTTTCCTTTTTTTTTTTGATCGTCAAAGCATTGTTAGAGAGGTTTATTATTTATAGTAGCGAGGCTCTGTTACTCAGTCTACTTTTTGTTCTTTAGGTTGTCTCTCTTACTTCCCCCTCCCCCGCTTTCCAAAAAAAAAAAATTTGTATGTCTCAGTCTGTCTGGCCTCTAGGTATAAATTGATGATAGATACACCTTAGCAAAAACGATTCACAGTTGATTATCAAGAAAAAAATTCAAATTAAAAAATAAAATAAAATAAAATAAAAAGACACCATGCGCATGTTCAATATTATGGGAAAACTGAATAACCATTAGAAGAATGAATTCATTTCCATTCAAAGTTTCAAACTGCTAAAATGACAATTCAAGGAAGTCCGCCATCAACCACTAAAGAAGAGAACATTTTAAGCTCACCATGAACCAAAATTTCGGGGTCATCATGCCTGCTGTAAACATGTATAGCAACTCTTCCACCACCTCCTCCTGCCCAACCATTACCACCAGAGGCACTTATCTTTCCACTTCCCTTCCTGCTCAAAAGGGACAAAAAATAGAAGAAATCAAAAGGTACTTTTTCAATAGATGAAAACACACATGCGCCGTCAATTTCGTAACCCCACAACTATACCATCTATCCCATAAGAAGCATCATTCCGGCAATATCGTATATGTACTTATTTGGATCAATTTACATGTGTGTGCATGCAAATGTATCCCCATATCACCTTAAAGGCATCATACATACCGTGCCTCAAGCGTACATCTTTATTATGGAAGAGAATCCTGAACAAGGATAATCTCTACCATTTTATTTACCCAATCGGATGTCTATTGGTATAGTGATGGTGACAATAATCTTAAAGTTACAGCATATCACATAGTAACAGTTGGCTTAAAAAAGACTGAGAGAACCAGTAAGCACCTTAGGATTATCATGTTTACAACATAGGCATGACCCAAGGTACACATAAATGTGAAGGTCAAGATTATGGAACAGTGGAACACTAGACACAACTATCGATATCATTAGTAGCATTGGTCAAATGATCACAACAATTGTGAATAGTTTAAGCATGCAAAGTCCTGTACAAATGACTGCCATCCCAGATGTATTAGTATAAATGCATATTAGTGTCTATATGGGTGTATTTTGTATTTATTCATGACTCATTAAAGATTTACAAGTGTTTGTACATACATTTATATGCATATATAGGAAGCCACTAAGCAACGCCTATGGGCAAAAATGAACAGTGTCTTTGCCCATAGGCTCAGCGCCGTCCAATTTTTTCGGACAACATGGAAAAATCGACCGCACTAGGTTCGGTATGATCGATTTTTCACACGAAAACGCAATGGCTCTCGTGGAGCCATTGCGACTTGTCAGGCAAAACCGCAACAGCTCTACAAGAGTAGAGCCGTTGTAGGGCGAAAGCACCATACACTTTCACCCCATGGCGTTTCTAAGACTTGTATATACATATAGGGTTATGTTAAGATGCTCACAGTATGCAGCAATTTATCATTGTACTCAATAATTTTGGACACTTCTATACCCTTTTTTATACATGAAGAATTTTTTAATAAGGGTATTTTGGTCAGGGCGTGATGTCATCCACATGGGGTGGGTGTGACATTACCCACATAGAGCATTAAATGCCACTAGTGTGTTCCATGTGGGTGATGTCACACCCAATTGGATGACATCATGCCCTCCTAATGACCAAAAATTCCTTATTAAAAAAATTCTCCATGTACAAAACAAGGGTATAGAAGTATCCAAAATTGTTGAGTACAATGATAAATTACTCCATAGTGTAAGCACCCTGACATAACCCATATATATATATACATATGTGTGTGCGTGTGTGTGTATTTATTTATTTATTTATTTATGTACTTTTTTATTTTTATTTTTATTTTTTTAAAACTGGTTAACTTGCATATATATATTATGCTATTTCACAAGAAAAGTTGATTAGCTATTTTTATAGCACAAATTTTAAGAGTTGATTAGCTATTTTTATAGCACAAATTTTAAGGGTTCATGGAGGTCTATAGTTGGTGCCATTCACCCTGTAAGCATTGTGATGGTAGCTGAGACAAGATATTCAAGAAGGTTCTCTAAGATTCATCGAGAATATAGGTAGAGGGAATGTCAATGAAGGCAAAAGAGCCTTTAAGGATAACAAAGTTCACGATGGATGATGCACAGGTAATAAGCATTATTGAAGATTATGGGTCCACTTACGCAGTAATTTAAAAGGATTAAGGGTCCACTTTCTAGTAACTATGCCGTTATATTCCATTTACAACCATAAAGATTGAAAGGCATTTGCAAGATGAATGTTGTTTGCATAGGTCGCCATTTTGTTTATGCTGGCGAATGAAAAGATGTGCAAAGCCAGTTGGATGAAATAAAAGTTCAAGGCAGTTGAAGCATCCATTTGGCAACCTTTAGATGATAATATATATTTATTTATTCATAAAAGTTGAGTTTTGTGTTGATAATAAAGAAATTTACAACATGCATGTAGCAGTATCTGTGCATAATGGGGAAGACCAATAATCCAAAAAAACAAAAGAAAAGTCCTCATTAGGACTGAATTCTATGAATAACAAAGCAATTGCCAGGAACCTTCCTTTGTGAGGGCATTGCCAACCGCATTTGATCATGCCATGAGTTCTTAAATGAGACTTGTAGGTAGTTATTGATCGCGATAATTTGGCTAACTGAACAACTACTCCAAATACCAGGAACATGGGGCCTACATTGAAGCTCATCTAATAATTTTCATAGAGTCATCTTCCACTTCAAGGGAGGACCCAACTGCCACCAAGAAATTTGACACCCTCAAACAGAGCCACTTCGTACTCCATTTTTCAGTATGTGTACAACCAATGGGGCCAAGTAAGTCAATAAGCAATCAGCTGAATGGTTTCTAAAGATATCTACCACGCCAGAGGAGCCTTGATTGCCTAAAGAGAACATATCGAAATTGAATTTGATGACCCCTAAAGGCTGGGGCATCCACATGTTAGATCTGGTGATTGCCAATGGTCTAGCACCCCCAGACACAACTCCAGTTTTGTATAAAGTCCAATCCAGACCAACCCAAGAAATAACCTTGAGATGAGGCCAACATTATTAAATAATTAAAAAGAAATAGAAATTTGAGAAGCTGATAGCCTCTTCAAATTGATTTTTCATAATCAATACTAAAAAAGGTAGTCCTTTTGTTTTGCAGAATTAAGTTATAAAGAAGAAAACGTACTAGTGCCTCATCTGGGTGGTCATTGAGATATTCCATGAAGGCATGGGGAGTTTCCACAGAATAGCTCCACTACTAATATCTTCTTCATGGGACAGCTCTATTTGCAATGCTCTTCAAAGGGTTTCAGGTATATCTCTTTCATTCTCCCAAAAATTTAAAATTAAACTTTAATTCTGCAACATATCCATTTAAATGAATCCCTACTGAAGATTAAATTCCTCTATTCCAAGGTTTAAAATTTTGGTGATCCGGATTCCAATCACCCGATCTGGATCGGATTTCGCACTACCCGTTCCAGATCATTTCATAAATCGGGAGTTGCCCGATTCCTCCTCTAGATTGTCGATTCTACTGTTGCGAATTGGCGATTAGCTACAGTAGAATTGCCGATTCCCCATGTATTTTTGAAATATGTGTTGTGTGAAAATCTATGCATGAAAACTTACCCCAATAGAATCGTCGATTCCCATGTCTTTTTGAAACATGTACCATGTGAAACATGGGCCATGTGCAATTTTAAAAAAAAAGTTATAAAGAGGGGCAGTGACCACCCCATAATCTATGGATAAAAACTTACCCCAAAGGCTGCCAGCTAATCATTGCTAAGCATGACAGGTGGTTGACGATCGGTGATGTGTGATTAACTCTCACGCCCACCTTCATCAATTCAAACATTTTAAAGAGGCTTTGCTCCTCTTAAATCCCCGATGTGGGACTTTTTTCACATTACGGGACGAAACCACCTCGGCGCAAATAAAAATTCATGTACATGACAGACTCATTTTGCTTTGTTTCTTTCTCATTTTTATTAGTAAGCAACAGTTCGTACCCCTTAGAATTACCAAAAAGACGGTTTTCTTTTGAAATTTCAGGCACCCAAAAAATGTGGAAAACTTGCATGTAATTAGAGGGATTTAAAAGATAACCTCCGTGTTCTAAATTTCTGCTTTCATTGACTACCAAAAAAATTTACGCTTTCGTTTAGTTTTATTTTATATTTTTTATTTGGATGGGGACTCTATGAGTGAAAAACAAGTGATTCAATAAATCAATTTTCAAAACACGGAAATAAAATAGATAAGTAGGCATGATCCCTATATTTACAAGTCACAATGTTATAAAAATACAAAAAAAAAATATATATATATATTAAATATGAACTGGATGCAGTAGCCAACAAATACTTAAGTATGAAACATATTTTCAAAAATTCACAATTTTTTTATGAAATAGTGAAAATATACAAAGCAATCCCCGTAATTTCTTTGGAAACATAAGAAACTAGATTTTTACAAAATTCAAGTGATTTTTTGAAAAAAAATTTAAGCCGAAACTCTCTGATCCAGAATGCCGATCCACTGATCTGACACAGTTTTTGAGGCGGCCGATCCGGGTCACCGATCCATTTTTTAAATCATTGCTCTATTCAAAAGCTTCCATAAATTCTTGTATTCAAATGCTTGCACTAAACCAATGGATCACTATGTAAAAAGGCAAAGATCAAACTTTGTTTTGAAAAGTTTGTCCTCAGTCTATCTATAGGGGAGTCGTAGAACTAAAGTGGAGACTAAAGAATGTACATATCAAGCCCGAGTCAGTGATTAAAGGATGTACACATCAAGCCCGAGCCATTAGTGTGGCAGTAAGTAACAAAGGTAAGAAGTAGAGCCAAAGAGCAAAAGGATCCTAATGCTCTCAAAATCCTTATGCATCAAGAAGCGGCATCCAGAATTATCACAAGCAATGATTTAAAATTCAGACTGAGGTCTAGACTTGCCACAGTCTCAAGCCTGAGTTCGTGGTTTGACTTGTCCGAAGTCTCCTAGTTTATGTAAAAATTAACACGGCAAGTCCGGTCAGACTGAGGTGACTCTCATGGTTTTTCATCCAGATCTGGTACCCTGTCGGCTTTGAGTGACTTTGGCATGTCCGAGCCCGAGTCACCATGTTTTCAAACACTAGTTACATGGTTGTATTGAACAATTGTATGAGTCTTGGGGAACAAGTTGGTAGACAGCAAGGGTAGGGAACATGAGTCAAGTACATTGTATGCTGAATAAGCAAAAAAACGTGCTCAAAATCAACCTCAATGTGCATGGTCATTCATGGAAGACAGGACTCATTGATGTCATGTTGACTTGAAGAACATGATTAGAATGTAGCAAGTGGACCCAAGCAATATGATCAGCAACATGAGCCGACCAGAGCTTTGAATCTGTTATGGCATTCAAACAAGGAAGTAATTCTTGTTTTTTTCCTTTTCCAAAGAGATCAAAGGATCTTCAATAAATAGGCCTTTGTTTTTTTATGACACAAAGCCATCATATCTTAGGTCTAAAAAGGTTGAGGACCCTAAACTTTCCCTTAACCCGTCCCAAGCCCAGGTAAAGGAGGTGGGTCGCGTTAGAAACCAAAGCATGCTAAAATGCACGAATGGCTCTAACAAATGCACGAAAGAAACCAAAGCATGCTAAAATCATAAAAATTTGTTGGCACTACTGCACACTAGAAAGAAACTAAAGCAGTGATTAAAGCATGAAAGTGTAATTATCATATTTTCAACAGCCTCACGGTTACAATGGCTCTACCAAATGCTCAAAAGAATGAACGAATGAATGATTTAGCTGCAATAATTGGAGCACATACTCAAAAGAACGAGCATCCATGTACCCAAAAGAAAGAATGAATGAATAAATGCAAGCTAGTTGCAATAATCCTATAATATACTCAAAAGGAACGCAGAATGAATGTAAGAAACAATGGAGAAGAAGTTACATTTTGTCCGATTTGATCATTATGCTTCCTCCCGAGCCCCCACCCCCTTTCATCCCCCCATCACCCCCGTCCGTCGCAACACTCCCATTCACATCCAACAGCTTGACTGCCTCCAGAGCCACCCTCCCCCCGCCACCTCCCCCACAATCCTCCTCACTACTCCTCGACCCTCCCTTACTCCCATAACTCCACGGGTGCGATAACGATGACCAAGCATATGCATCACCACCCCAGACATCATCAGGAAGCTTTCCCTCCCCCTCATTCAAACAACATGCCCCCCTCCCCCCATGGCCTCCACCTGCCCCATCGATCCCCAATGGGGTACCGCTCGTCTGAGGTGGTGGTTGACCCCCCAGGCCTGTAGTGTTCAGGCCCGAGCCCAGCGCTAGGGCCACAGAATCAGCTGATACTATGATTGTACCAGCTGTGACAGACGAATTTTCGAATAGTGTGAAGTCTCCTGAAATGTTGATGCTAATTGTGCAACCTGAAATCAGGCAAGAGATAGAAACTCCAGGGAGGAGTTCAAGGCTACCGGAGCCGACAATGGAGAGATCGCCATTTAGAGATAGAGAGGTGTTGAGGCGGCAGAGAGTGTCGAGGGAGCCCGAGCCTTCAAGGTCAATCTCACAGGTATTGGAGGGAGATGGAGATGGAGATGGAGATGGAGATGGAGATGGGGAAGGGGAATTAGAAGGGGAAGATGAAGGAGAAAGGGTGGGGGAGAGAGAGATTATGGAGTATTGGGAGGAGAGGGCGGTGAAGGCCGGCTTGGCTGAGGAGAGAGAAAGGGTGATAGGGGTTCCAGAGGAGAGGATGAGGAGGGCACCAAACAGAAGGACGTTGAAGACCCAGGATACCGCCATACTTTCCCTGTCTATGGAGAATTAGGGTTCAGGGTCTCATCAGGGCTTGGAAGCAATTGCAGGGATTCTTCTCTCTCCGTATCTTCACAAATGACACCTCTCCTACACCCCAGCAGATGATTCTTCCCCCTCTCTCTCTCTCTACTAGGGCTCGGATTCCACACCAGCTCAGAATCAATCACAAATGACTCCTCGCACTCTGTGGAAAACTAGGTCTCAGAATTCCATCTCAGCTCGGAATCAATAGCAAAAACCTCTCTCTTTCTCTCTCTCTATGGAGTATTGGATGGAAGGGAAATGCTACCAGGGCTTCCAGTGGTGAGCAGAGGAGCCCTTCCTGAGATCAAAAGATTCAAAACTAGGGCTCACACCTCCATCAAATCAATCACACCAAAAAGCAGTGATTCCCCTCTCTCTCTAAAAATCAAAGCAATCGCAGGTCTCTACACAAAAATGGGAAATGGTATAAGTCAGGAGAGAAAAGGTTCCATCACCTGTTCGCTATATTTCCTGTCAACCCTTCTCTCTCCACTTCTTTTTGTCTCTCTGGTTTCGGGTTCTTTCTTTCTCTCTCCTCCGTGTGTAAGTACCTTTATTATTTCATTTTATTTCTTCAATCTTTTCAGTGTCGCGCTGGCGTGGCGTGGCCCTTTTCCGTTGGGTCTCCCGACGCGGCGGTCTACTAACCTCCCTGCCTGACATCGGTCTTTCTCTTCCCGCACTCTATAACCAACTTTCCCTTTTCGGGAACGGGGTTGAGGTCGCACCGGCACCAGTACCACCTGAGCTTTAGTTACCGGTTTAGATTTTGAAAAATGGTTTGAAAGGGCTGCAACCCTATCAGAGTAAATAAAGCCTCACCTTATAACTCATCATCTCGACTTGAACATTATGACTGTAAAAGCAATTTAGGATTTGAAATTTCAAAATAGTGAATATTGTAACAAATCACCTAGACCATCCATTGCACCTTAAAAATAAGTGTTTATAGATATGCAAGATCTGTACTTTTTTTAGTTTTAAATTTTATTGTTTGTGTTGGAAATCAATTTTAGAGCCATCGTGAAGAATTTTGAACAAGAACTTGAGATGAGGCTTTATTTTGTGTTCATAAATCCTAGGCCTAAAGAAACTTTATCCTTAGATTTTTTTTCTTCTTACTTGCATATTTGTTTGTACAATATGTGGTTCAGATGTATAAAGCATCTTAAAGATGGATGCAAATAGGTGGTTTATTTAAAAACAATTGAAATTGATGGTCCTTTTTTAATAAAATTATTATTTATAGTTTTTAAAATTTATTTATTTATTCGTATTCATGATCTCCATGTTAACGAGTATATATTCTCTTCAAATTAGGATTGAATTCTATTTCAAAAATAATTTTTTTAAAGGGACTGCATTTCTACATTTGTGGGCTTGGCCGCATGCTAACCGCATCCATTTCTAAAATAAAGCACACCTTCAAATATTGTCAAAAATTATGGTTTCATTACTGGAATTCTTTGTGATAGCCTTAAAATTTATTTTTAATTTCTATTTAAAGCTTCAAAAACAGTATAGATCGAACAGATCTATGAAAACTTGAAAATCTTGGAAATTGACGATCAAAAAATATATTACAAAATAAACTATTTCCAAAACTTGAAATCCATTTTTCCTCGTGTCCATGAATCTTGAGGTTGAGATGTTCAATTTAGAGATTTTTGAGCATCAAAACGACCTCTTATAGGTGTGCCTTATATAAATTTTTACCTTTGATTGTTTAGAGTGTCACAAATTTTTGAGGTGCAGCTTAATTTGATTGTTTAGAGTGTTACACTAATAAAAACTTTTTCCTTTCTAGAAATAGGTATTTTACACTCTTCAACCCCCTTACGGTCTTCATATACATTAGCGCTACTTTCACACCCATGTGTTATATGAACAAGGTAGGTATATCATTGTCCAACACATATATGCGTATTATTTATGATAGTATTAAAATTAATCTTTCAAATACGATATGTCTCTGAACAATTTAAAACAAGTTAAATATGATTTTAATTGATAGCCGCGATGCCAAATCTTCGAGACATGTCAATCTTCCCAACCATATGATGGGACCCAAGCCTTCTACATTTATCCGTTTTAGTCACGTAGAATCAATTCTATTGAATAGACTAAGAATATTAACAAAACAGAATATATAATGGACTAAAAGTGTGGTATATCCTTAGAATTAAAATGTATAACTATCAGCACAGCTTGCTCTTGCGGAAGCATATTGTACATCTTTTACTCGAAAACATGCCTATATAGCACAACTTTTTTAATCTAAAATTATGAGAAACACATAATAATTACTAGACTATCTTTTTTATCATAAAAAAATTAAAATTTAAGTTTGGTGACTTAGTTCTGGCCATTGAAAACTTGAACAATTTCTAAATCTTAAAGCCTATGTTTTTTCTACTGCATAGAGATTTTATTTTGGAATTTTTTGGCCGAGGTTGTTCTATGAGTTGTAAAGTTTACACCCCTCAAAATTTGAGATCCGACCAATATGTAGCATGTAGTTTGCCTGAGAGATGAAATTAATAGTATCCTCCCGCGAGAGTAAGAAACCTTGTGGAATAAATGAATAGACCAGCAATCTTTTTTATACATTTCAGTGCACATCATGTCTACAACACCGCTAGTCTTCCTGCCACGTCATAGTAGGGACCCCATTTTAGAAAGAGAAAGTGCACCAATATACCAATGGTCAATGGTGTACAGGATATGGTGGTTTTTGGTGTACTCCACAATAGGGACATTCTAGGTCGCACTAGGTGTGGTTTAGCCGCACTAAACAAACCTTCATTAGTTGAAACTACAGATGAGCTCCACCGTTTGTCAAAGGGAATAAATGGTCGATGTAATTTGGTGTACCTTGTACCATACACCACACCTTTGGTGTATGGTGAACTTTCTCTTTGATAGATTGAAATTTGAAGCGAGGTGAAGCAAACTCTAAGCAATCGTTGAACTTAAGCTTTTGAAAGTCATCACATAATCAAGACTCGAAGACAAAAGATTTTATCTTCCATGGGAGTATACTATGTATTTATTCCCTCAGGTAAATCCCATCATATAAGTACTTTTAGGACCCCAAATTTTGGGAATGTAAGCTCTTAATCTTAGTTAAAAAAAAATATATGATCTGGACTCTCTATGTACTAGAAAAATAGTGCCTCAAAATTATATAGAGACTGTCTAAATTTTACAAGGACAAGATCTCAATGTCAAAGAAAAATCAAAATTCAAATTTTTTTTTTTTAAAAATAATCATTTAGTGATTCGTAAGTGATTTCCAAAATTTATACTGAAATTTTTTTTTTTTCACAAGTAGATATTGTAAATGAGAGAGTAGATATACACTATGCTCTCGCAAGACTATAGTATACTCACTTATATTCAAAATATTATTGAGTTATTATTTTAATGCTATCGAAATGTATCTCAAGTGCAAGGGAGTTTGGAACCTCGTGTAGTCCATTTGGATGATGTCCAGTGATAATGTCTGGTAATTTGTCATTCTAAATATAAGTGGTTAAGAGAATCCAGTGTCTAGATTGTTAATTTCTCAAGCATGAAATCGAACTTCCACATTTGTGACATTGATTCAAATGCTTGCTTGCGTATGAATGAACTATGTTGGACTTTTGATGAAAATAATAGTTTATGTAAGGATAAAGTTTATATAAGGTTGTGACTTTGTAGTATAGAAATAAGGTGTAGAAAAAAATATTGCGAAGTTGAAAAACCTTCTAATTAATCATCTCGACCCTAAAATATATGGATATAAAGAAGAAAAAAGAATTTCAAGTCCTACAAATGGTGAATCTTGGAACGAGTTACTTGGACCGTTTATTTTCGATATTTTCCAAGTGTTCATAGATCTGCACTCTTTTTGAAATTTTAATTTTCATAATGTACGGTTGGACATAGATTTTCAAGTTATCATAAGGTTTCCAATACTAGAACTACATCTTCCAACAAAATTTAAAGGTGTGCCTTACTATTTTAGTATAAGGCCGGTTTGCACTTACGCCTGCGTCGACACATCAAGGATATCATGTTCTTGTTTATAAACATAGATGATACTTAGCCTATTTTCATGTGTCAAAATGGGAAGATACCTTGTCCTCCCCTGTCATTGCAGTAGTCCTCTCCAATATATATAGTTGGCATCCCACAATTCCTTTTTTTAGGGACTGTTTGGTTGTAGAATTTAGGAGTGGTGTTTTTCTTTTAATTTTTAATTGACCATTAGCATTTTCGCTTGTTGTCATTCTCTATCTATGTGTGTTTAATTATAATGATTTTCATTATAAATTATAATGGAAGTAAGATAGCGTGATAGTGGTGGCGGCAGCAGTAGAGGTGGAGGTGTGGTAAAGTGCATTGGTAGTGGTGGTGGCTAGGCAATGGTGACATGGTTCTGATACATTGGTGTTGGTGGGTAAGTTGTGGTCAAATGGTAGCAGTAGAGCTATGGTGGTGGAGTAGTGATAGTGGTGGCGATGTCGTTGCTACGGCTAAATGGTAGCGACGGTTTGATGGTGATGGTGGTAGCAATTATTGGTGGCGGTAGTGGTGGAGGCAATGGTGGTAAAATAGTGGTGATAGGGG